GGTTTTGATAGAACGGATACTAAGTGGGTTAATATTTCTCCTAAAATTACTTAAAATGTCATCTCACTGAAGATGACAAATCAAGGTCCTTATAAACATTCACGCTATAAAAACAGTTCCATTTTACACACCTTTTATTTTTTGTTGCCTGCATAAAAATAATGTTAACTGTATCATTATACTGAAATTTTAACATCTCTTCATTGTGAACACAGAAGCAATTTCATTTTAAAGTGGCAAAGGGCAGAGTTTCTAATAAAAATGTAATCTGTAGCCTCTGACTGCAAATGCTTCTGTTTGTGCTAATTCTCATGTAAGTCACTGTAAAATGTATGATATATCAGTTTAAACAGATGTAATATCAAAGTCTTTTCATTATTATTATTTTTTTCCAGTAACAGTTTTGGTAAAATTCAAATACATCAGTAATAATGTTTCACTTTTATCTCATTATCAAATTAGTTTTACACTGCCTTAACATGAGTTAAATCACATAAGTACCATTTAGACATCAGCCATCAAGTTGTTTTAAAGTGTTCCAATGAGATATTCTTGGATGCACAATGATTAACCTCTTATGCCATCTTTACTGCATTTGGGCAAAGAGGTGGAATGAGGTTTCTGTAGCTGAGCACGGTGGTGGAGCTCCGGCGTCCTGCATCCCCGGTTCCCAGCTGGCACGGCGCGGCTGCAGCCTCTCATGCCTTGGCACTCATGGGCCAGCGAGCGCGAGGCTTTGCAGGATGTCTGGGTAGAGTTTGCTTTCCTTGCTTCCTTATCCTTCACCAGGTAGAAGTTTTCTCCTTTTAATCTGCTCTGGGAACCTGATGCTTTCCCCAATAATGTGTTTGGTCTTGCCAAATGTCTTAATTGTCACACAGTTAAAAAGCAGCAGCTAGAGATAATTCACAGACAGTTAGAGACATCCACTTCTAAATACTTTGTTGAAGGACACCCTCTTTATACCCACGCACACCTCCAAGTACGAATCTGCAGTGCCCATGAGGTACCCTTGCTGTGCAAACGGGAGGACGTGTTTAGCAATCTCTCACAGACTGCCAGGGCATAAATGCTGCACTATTGGATTTGCGAGTTCTTGCAGCAGAGTGGGATCTTGCTGGGATGTCAGCATACTGTTTTGGGGTGTCTGTGGGCTTTTTGAAATGGATTCTTGGGCTGCTGGTACAAATCAAGCAAATAAATTGGCTCCTGCTGTTGTTCACAAGGCTGCTTCCAGCTCTGCCTCCTGCCGCTTGGCCCTCTGCTCCCTGCCCGTCCTTTGCAAGCTCTGCCTTGCAGTTCCTTTGCTGAACCTCTTATGTCCATTTTTATCTCACTGGCAGATCTGAATAATCATACAAAAGTGCTACTGAGAGTTCTTTTCCTCTTCTTCCTTGTTGACGGTAACGCATCCAGGGCTCATATTGACAGATTAATGCGGGGCTGGCTGCAGCAGGGCCTGTTGCTGGAGGCAGCTCCCGAGCACACTGCCTGTGATTCTGCGCTGTCTGACTCTGAACCCGTTTGATCATTGTAGGGGGTCAAATGCTTGGCTTGAGTCTTTTTTATGTTTGTGTTTCTCTCGGGCAAATGGGGCTGAAAGAAGAAACTGGAGGGACCAAAGTGGAGTGCTCTCATGAAAAAAAAAAAAAAAATAGATGCAAAACACAAAGCACCATTTGTGCTCGAACTGGGGGGTTGAGGGGAAGGACAGCACTGTTTAACTGCTATAGATGACTTGGTTTTCTTCAGCTGGAGAAATGCTTTGATTCTATTCTATTGTTAATTAACCAGTCTGAGAAAAAATACATTTGTAAATTAGGCAGGAGACCACTTCAAGACTCTGCACTGACTTCTACAAGGCTGGCAATCTCCTTCTGGTTCTCATTCACAGGTGCAAATGCTCTGGAGACCAACACGAGGGTAGGTCACTGCTGTGAAGCTGGTAGCCCCCTGCTACCAAAGCCTTGCCACATAAACCCAATACACCCAGCAAGACATCCTCATTCCTCTTCTGGCAGGAATGTTCTTGAGGGGTTGTCTATGTCAATCTGTCTTTAGCTATGGCAACTCAATTTTGTATGCCTACATTAATGTGGAAGCCCACTAACAGTTCTGCTGGTGGAAATACGTAGTGAGTCAAGCTCTATTCATTGAGAGACTCTGGAACTGGTTCATATTTTGGTTAAAGATCACCTGAGGCACTTCAATAGGGTGATCTCTTGGACAGTTTGTTCTTGCAGTTTCATGTACAATGAGGATAGCAGCTTCTGCCTATGAGTAGCTATAAATGGCCAACCTTATTCAAAAGCCATGTCGTAGTTGGAAAAGTTGACTGCGTCTTCTAGATGACTGTTTAAGGTCAGTTATTTTTACTTTTCCGCTTTGTTCTAGTTAAATATTTTTACTTGCTCTCAGAACAATAGCTCCCACCACACTGAAGCCTTCACCCAGTGCAGTTGCTTTTCATACCTCTTCCAGTTGCAATCCATGCAGCGCCCAAGGGTCTCATCTCCTTAGTTTAGCTAAATATAGACTTTTCAAGCCCTTGTATAGAGTCTAATCCATACCTTTACTAATCTTAACAAGCTGAATCCAGTGGCATAAGCAGCTGACTCAGGTTTGTGGGTAGAGTCTATATTCTCTTACACTTGCTCTAATTTGCCAAGGTTTGTTTAAATTTTCTACTGCTTAATCTGGTATTTTATTGCCTGTACATACTTGACTCTGAGGACTGGATTGTTGTGATGATTTTTCCTGTCTGCAAACTTACTCTTCAGTTTTCCATGCTGTTTGCCCAGGGAGACCCACTAATTTTGTATTTTTTCAAGTAACTGTTTAATACAAAAACATCAGCCAAATCTGAAGTTGCTTTTACACAATTCCAAAATAATGCCCTGTTTACCAGGCAGTTCACAGATTGAACTCAGAAAAATTAGTTTCTCTGCCTTCGGTTGCAAAGCTTCTCTCACCCTGTCCTCTTTGGTTTGGAGGGAGCTGGGTCCCATACACACTCTGGCAGCTGCAACAGGATGAAAATATCCACAGAGGTTTCTGGCAGAATCTTATTGTGACAAATCATTTACAGTGGTTCCAAAAAAGATTTGTTTTCATATTTTTGCTTGGCTTTTTCCAGCTTGATTGCAGACTCGGTATGGGTTTTGTTAAAGCTCTTTTCTAAAACCAGGTAGATTTGTGGTTTGTGATCGTGATGCGTGCAGTTACACATCACTGTGTGCCTTTGATTCAAATGTGGTTTCAAACCCACCTTTGTAAGCAGGGAGGGTCATAGTGTGTTTTAACAGTTTCTCGTTTGTGTGTGTGCTCACGTGCAGCATGTTTATGCACACAAGTGCACACCCCCTGCCAAAGGCATCAAAAGGGCTCTGAGCTTCATGGAGCCAGTTAGCTGGTTCACAACAGCAGTGACTTGCAAGGCTTAAAAGAGCACAGAGGAGGTGGGCATGCGTGATCACGCATTATCCTTCCATTATCCATGCATCTTCTTGTCTGCCAGCAACCAGGAGTTTAGCGCCTTCCTGCATCTAGACCATCACGTTGCTGGTGTATCCAACCTACACGAATATCTCTAGTTATTTAACTTGGTTGTAATTTTGGACATTTTGGTATTGTCCTAAAGAGCTTGAACACAGTGAGAGTGCTTTGAGAGATTCTCTAAGATGCTTGGCACAACCGACCCACCCTGTTGTCTGTGGGAGAGGAACAGACATCCTCTCCTCTGCTTCCTATGGGTCAGAACCAGCAGCTAAAAACTCTGAATTCGTCTTCCTGCACTAATCACCACTTTGCACTGACAGTGGGTTGCAAAGAGGCTGAACACTACCATATGCATGGAGATGGCATCGCCATGGCCCATGCTTAGACCCTTTCTCTGGCAGAAGAGATGTACTGGTGTTTTCTGCTAACTGAAGAGTACTGAAAAGGCATTTCAGGTGGTGGAGTAGAGAAACTTCAGGAGTGCTTTTATCATGATGTGATCTAGACTTGTTTGTGCAGGTGGTTGAGGTGAAGCTACTTTTGTTGTCTGTCTTGGATCCTCTTGCCTAGTTGAGCTCCCATGGAGCTAAGACACGAGGACTGTAGCTCACAGCACCTAGCTGAAACTTTTTTCTGTGATGCAAATGTGCCTTGCAGCCTGGGCTAATTCAGACCAAGCAAGCAGGAGCAGATTCCTGTTTGCTTTTTCTCCATTGAAGGAACAGTGCTGTTCTGGAGTTTGATTGTTTGACTGGCTGCTCGGCACTTTGACTGCACAACAACTTCTTATCTTGGGTACTTCATTCCTTTCCAGTTTAGTTCTTTTCTTCCCCAGTTCCGTGTTCTGCCATTGGATTGCATTAATGCAGTGTGCCCACAGGCTGCGCTGTATTGTTGCATATGTTGTGCTATTCAAAATAATCTCAGTGGGTGTTCTAAGTAGCTGCCATGGTACAACCCATCTTCTTGGCAGCCAGAAGTGCTGTGAGCTATATGTCTTATTTTCCTCTTTATCTTCATATATTGTAATAGAGACGGAACCTATAGAAGTCTTGCATATGGTATACCTTGCCAAGATACCTTGTTGGTACCTAGCAGCTGTCCATACATGCTTGGTAAAGAAGATGTGTTTTGTTAATTATGTTTACATGGGATGGTGCTTGGAGAACTCTATGTAGATACAAAATGGTCTCCCTGGGAAAAAAAAATTCTTCGGGACTCTTTGCCGCATTTTAATGGAGGATCACAGTGAGCTGGTAGTGGGCTTCTGACTGACACCTTTTTTAGCATCACATTAGGAATGTAGGCTGCGAAAAATCCAGTCTGTCTCTAGTAGTGTAAAAAGCATGTAAGCTTTGCTTTGATATATCCGTTAGCAGTGAGCATAGCTGCATAGTAAACGCACAGTTTATTGAGGTTTGGTTTTTTTCATTTTTAATTGCATGCTTGAATGTTTGGAGATGGACTCAAGCTAATGTAATGTTTGCTTTCATATATTTCAGCTGTGTGGGTGTTGAAGAAGAAGAGGCACCAGATATTGACATCTATCATTGTCCAAATTGTGAGAAAACCCACGGAAAGTCTACTTGTAAGTATACTCACGCAGCTGGTCCTCAGATACATATCAGATTCTGTATGTTTAAACAACAGAAGCTTTTTTTCTTTTATTATTACAGAAAGACAAGCCTAAATATCATATGTTAAAAATATTAGAATTCAGATCATGAGGTAAAAAAATATGTTAGGGGGAGAAAGCCATGGGTTGGATTGTGAAGCTTTGGATGCAGCTCTCTGCCTGGCCTCAGGCAGTGTGCAATGAACTAATGCAAGGCACCTTACCTGGAGAGCTTCAGTCCCCACTGCCAGCAATGAACACGATGCTGCCTTCCTCACATGAAATTAAGAATTGTGAAGGCACCTTAGTACTGTGGGCTAGAAGAATCCTACAGAGACAGCTAGTTTAATACAGTGAGTTTTGGAAACTACATGGTGTTTTTTGTCTTTGGATGAGAAGCGTAAGAAACAGTATGTTATGCTTGGCCTGGATATAAAACTGTGGTGATTTAAGTGGCAGTCAGAATTGTAGGATGCACTGAGGGTGCCAATGCTTGCAGTTCTTTCACAGGAAAAAGTTCTCTTGAGTAAAAGTGACAGTTGATCTCAGTGGGAGTTTTGTCTGGGAAAGAACTGTAGGATGTGTTTGCTTTGGTCAGATTAATTCACAAATTCTTTCTATTATACAATGGGAAGAAAAAAAAAAAGAAAAGAAACCAATCTCTAAAAGATGAAATGCTTTACTTGGAAGCCATTTATTGTAAATAAGCAATAATGATGCAGAGGTTCTCACTGCTTTGCAACCTTACAGCAATACACAGAGGAAGAGCATTGTGCTTATCTCTCAAGAGCCGAACAAATCATAATGTTCCTTGTTTAGTGCAAAATAAGGGATGGCTGGAAACTGACTTCTGTTGTGTTAAAATTCAGTAATTTTAACATCAAGCAATTATTTCTGCACTGCCTTAAAAGTTTAAAAAATTTCTAGGGGGAAAGGGGGGGAGTCTGAAATGTTCGTTTTGGGGCAAAAAATGGGAATAATTTTTTCACTTTGACTTTTTCAAAATCAAGTGTGAACAGGAAAACAGTATGACCTGTAGCTATTCCTTTCTCCCAGATGGTCTTTTAGCAACTTTGGCCCAAGCAGGGCACCCACAAATTGGTCAAGCTGTCAGAAAACCCCTTGGGAGGCTTGTTCTGAAAGACTTAACAAAATCAATATATCCCCACAAAATGTTTTGATTTAAAAGAGTTAGCCTTTCTAATGTTTTATTGGAAGATTTCTGACAAATGCATTGGAAATTGGTCAAACAGATAACCTCAAATCATCGTCAGGTGAACAATTTGGTATTAGAATGGGTTGTGTTGAAAAGGCAGGTATGACTGCAGATACTCCCACGCTGTTACTGACCCAGCATAGAAGCAGCAGCATAATATTTCTGTCCTCTGTGAGTTTTGTATAACATTGCGTTGTGTTTGATGCTTTGATTTCTTTCACTTTTCTTTGAATTATGGGTGATGAAAACCACCTACTTTTTAGTGTGAGGGGAAAAAAAATCAGACAGAAGCAGCAAAAGTCTAAATACCTGTTTTCTGAAAACTGTGGTGCATAATGTTAAGAATTCCAGAAATGGCAGTTTTGGTAAAAAGATTACAAGTTTAATATACCAGTTAAGATGAGGAAAGTTGAATCAACAACAACCTTGTGATACTTTAAGAAGGTTTTTGGCTGTCCGTTTCTTTTTATCCCAATAAAAATGTGACTTGGCAGTATGTCCCTCAGTCTGCTTTGTGCAGCACAGCAGAAAGTGCTGCTGGAGCGGCGTCACTAGTTATAGTCTTATCAATGTATGAGGTTATATGTGTGGTAGGAATACAGGACTTCAAATCATTCTGCAGTACAGTAGAAAGACTTGGTTTTCTCCATTCAGATGCATTACAGAAAGATTAATGACATACAAGACCAATCATCAAAGTAGTCGAGCGTAAAAATTTCAGGAGCATTTACACATTAGTTATTGACAAGCTTACCTTGAATTTTGGTGAAGTGCAAGGTCACAGGTTCTCAAGCTGTATAGTCATTTTCACCATTAACTTGCAGAATTGTGGATCCTGTTGAAAACTGACGCTGGTATTCTGTAGCCCCTCCTTGCAGAGTGCAATAGGCCAGGGAAGTTAAAAGGCTGATTAAATGAAGGCAGGAACAGCTTGGCTTAATGTATTTATTCTGTTAGGCATTTGTATGCAGGGTGTCCTGCTGAATGGCACTTGGGTTTTGCTGGGACTTCTGTGAGATGATCACTTTTGTTTGTTTATGGACTGTTACAATATATGTTTAAACTAGTTATCTAGCACTATCAGTTTTGTAATAGGAATAAGAATTGTTCCAGAGCCAGTAGTTCACTGGTAGGATTTAAATATTGCAAGATTAGCAAAGTGAAACACAGACACCTATTGTCTGTTATGCAACTTGTCTGGATTTAAAAATATATGTGTATTTCTGGAGCATGCATTCCACAATATATGCTTTCCAGATGTCAAATTTAAAAATCATTTTCTCCTTCTTACATTTTTCCACTTTACCAGTGTGGCTTAGTGGCTACTATTTCAGAAGATTGCTTTCTGTCATGTGACATTTTAAGCCATTTTGGTTTAATGAAATTTGTAGGGACTCCGCTTTGGGAAAAATTGTACACATTCATACAAAATTTTCTGATATCGTTTAAGTAAAATGGAAGTGTTTTGCTTAGGCAGACTTGATTCATTTTCATAACACCATCTGAAATGTTCAGTTTGATTGCTGTCTCTTCTGCAGCAGTGAAAATCAGGAGAAATTCTTTGGACTCAGTGAAGTTACATAGACGCAAGCAAACCAAAGTCAGGCTGAAACTGTTTTTAAGTAATTACAACCTTTAATATAAATCAATAGAGAACTAACAGGGTGCTTCTAGGTATCCCTTCTTCATAAATACATTAGAAATAATGTAAGTATACCTTTGAAGCCTAGAATTAATCATTTTGAGATACAGTTTTGATAAAAAATACATTCCATTTTTCCTCTAGAGGGTTTTCTGTAGAAGGAACGGGTTATACTTTCCAAAGGTCAAGTTTGGATCAGAAAGTTCTGCAGAAAAAGAAATCTGTAATCATTTAAGAAAAAGTGGCCTTTCTGGCCAAAGCTAGTATTTGTTGCACATGTTAATGGGCCCTTTAATCCTTACTGTGGCGTTTGTGCTAAAGATGAAACATAAAGAGAATGGCTGAAAATGGGCCAAATGTCGATTGTTTGAGGTAGTATAATAGGCTACGGCAGCTGGCTTGCTGTTGTCCAGGAGATAGCACCTCCTGGGGAGTGTTCTGGTGGTAGAGGCATCTTTGTTGCCGCTGCGTGAGAGGTGGATGCGAGAGGTGGATGCCTGCTGGTGCTCAGTGCTAGGTGAAACGGCTCCCCGGTGCTTTCTGAAGAGTTGCAGTGAATTTCTTAATTCAGCACTGATTTGCCTCTTTTATTTCTCAATGCTCTGTGCTATCTGAAGAGTAATAAAAGAACACGCTAATATGATAAGCTCTTTAATTTTCACTGTGTCAAGTGACACCTGTTTCCCTGGGACTTGTGCTAAGAGTCCCAGTGTTGGTTTAGATCTGCTGGGGGGGGGGAGGAAGCAGTCATTGGAAAGAGAAGGAGAGGAGGAAGGCTTGGCATTCATGTAGGGCTTGTTTCCTTTGTTACCAGGAGCATTGAATTAATACACTAAGCCTGAGAGTCATTAAGATAAAGAACTAGGAGCTTTAATGAATATATCCAGCTAGGCTAGAGAGCTGCATGGAACTAATAAAACCAACATGCTTTGTGCAAAACCTGGGATGGATTCTTTGGGAGAAGTCTTTACTTGAGTTACTCCAGGGTTGTGGTCGGGAAAACAAGGTTAGCTTTTTTTGAACCTTATGTGTTATAACTGTGGCCTCTAGATTTCCTTCTTAATGAAAAAGTGTGTGGATCTGTGTGTGAGTGCAGGTGCAGAGAGCAAGGAAAGAGTGCCATCCGTGCATGGTTACTGAGTTCCCTAGCTGTTTTGAATAGTAAGAAAAGGATAATAGGTCTTGATTTTGGGGTAGAGTACTGAATTTCATTATGTAAAACAAGGGTGAAAAATAAAAGTAAGTTGTGACATATGAAAATCCTACTAACAGAGGCTTGAAATGATACAAATATGCACTTGGGCCAAAAAATAATTTACTACCAAAATGAGCATGTGTAAACAGACTGTGGAAGTAGGAAGAGCTGAGAGAGATAGTGCTGACTAAGAAAAAGCTGGACGAGTTTTTCTTGCTCTGTGTTATCTGGCTGTCAGAAGCAAGGCAGAACAACATTGAGATTTAACTTACTTATTTGTGGTTATTCCAGCTGACCTTTTTTCCATGATGAACTAACTTGCCTATATGTCTGTCACCCACTGGGAGCACATTTGAGGGGCCTTCAGTCTACTGTCATCAATTTAAGGCCTAGGCTTGCCTTTCAAAACCTAGGGATAAGAGGAGTTCTAAAAATTGCATTTGTGGTGCCCTTGCATCTTTTTTTTTTTTTTTTTTTTTATGTGTGTGCTGTGTGCAGGGCGTAATTCAAAGCCCATCAAAATTGATGTCAAATCTGCCACTGCTGGACAGACCTTTAGACTAAGGTAATTCATGACAAATACATTCTTAAAGTTCTATACTGCATATTGAGAAGGCAGGAAAGTGGCTTTCTAAGAGTTTTTTGTTAAGGATTAAGTGTGTAATCTCGCAAGTAAAAAATGTCCAGAGCCTGTGTTTGCATAAAGCCTGCAGTAGCTGTAAAGCTCAGTAATTATCTGTCTGGTTGCCCTTATGTTACAAAATGAACACTGTTCAGTATATAATAGATCTTCAGGCAACATTATAATTGTCTAATGGTGAATTGAGAGCAATATTAAAATTTGCAGTGCAGCATAGTGGGGGTTCCCTCTTCTCTGGTCTCGTAAGAAATGAAATGAAGATTTGTCTTTCCTTCAAATGTCTTAATAATTCTATTTAACATACAGTACTGTCCAATTAATTCCTTTTTAGTGAAAAAGAAAAGAAATTGGCATAAACACGATACTGGGCAGACAACAGAGGTCAAACCTGTACAGAATGGAAGCCAAGTCTTTATAAAAGAACTTCGAAGTCGTACTTTTCCAAGGTAGGTTGTTCAGCTGCACGCATGGACAGGACTGTTGAAGTAAAGCATATATAGCCAGTTTCCTATGTAACTGATGATGATCCTTGCTGAAAGCATTACATAGTACAGAACTTTGAAGTTTAAATGAATGCTGTTTTATTGCAGATGTCCCAGGCTCTTCCCTTTTTTGTATTTGTGCAGCCATATTCAAATCTACTCTTGCTTGAGCCCAGTTCCTCCAGATTTCTATAGAAGCTAGATTTGTGAAGACAAGAACAAGAACATTTTTGACCCCTACAACATTCGCTTGCATAAGAAATTAACCAATTTATTGCATAGAATTATCCAGTTCTCAAAAATACTAATGAAGTCTGTCTCCATCTTGAAGAGAAGAACAATGGCATCCTCAGTTGCTACAGTGACAAAGGCTCTCTTATTTGGGGTAATGAATAGTGCTAATTGTTAGGTGACATGTTCCACACTTTATTAGTCTGCTTCACAGCCATTTTTAAGAGTGATGATTTTCTTTTGGTTCTTTAACATAGGCCTTAGTCAAATAAATCCTTAATTATTAATGACTAATTATTTTAGAAGAATCCTTGAAGACTGTTAGAGTGTACTTGGTAAACACAAAACAACTTCTTTTTACAGAGAATTTAATTGCACATTTAATTTCAGATACTGGTCTTAGGCTGGTTAAGGAAAAGGCTGAAAATACCTATGTAAAGTGTTTGCAGTGCTTACAGATGTGTTTCACAGACTCAAGATCCAGTGGTTTTACTTACCTGGCTATTTATATTTGGGCGTGCTAGATTTGTCTTAGCCTTTTTTATTATTATTTTTTAGTTTGTTTTTGTATACAGAGCAATTTGACAGGTTGCAAAGCTAATTTCTTACAAAAGGTTTAAGGCCTAGCAGAATGATTTCGATAACCTCAGATGGCCTCTGTGATTGCACTCACATGTGCAAAATCTCTGAGTTACTCCCAAATTGTAAAAATATATGGAGCCCCATTTTTTTTTGTTTGATTCTGACGTAAAAGTGCACATAAGAAAATCCTGCTGCCACATTGAAGTTTCTGAGAAAGAAGGGTTTGTAGCCAGAAGGAGTGCCTGCAAGATTCAGGCCTCTGACATCTACACTTACGCCATTAGTAAAACAAAATCTTGTTGGGAAATTTTATCTTCTGAAGAGTATTAATGAAATCTGCAGATGTTCACAGAACAAAACCCAAACTCATCAGTCAGAATGTGATGAACAAAAAAAGGGGGGCTCAGTTCAGAGATAGAAACATCATTGCTGATTCACAGCACACAACAGTAAATTATAACCCACGGTTAGTCTCTTGGTGAGGCTCAGATCAAAAGGAACAGTGAAGAGAGCAAAAAGGAAAAAAATATAATTCATGTCATTCCACTCCTGAATGTTTAATACCAAAATAGCATTAGAGTAGTAATAGTAGTAGAAATAATAATTAAATTGATGGTTCACATTCTTAAGTGTAGGTGCCAGACTCTCTATTTTGGCATGATCAATATTAGTTGCTCTGGTACTGATCTTTCTTTACAACTATGTGTAAGTTTCTGTGGCACATGTAGAAGGAAATTGGACTTGAACAAGTATGTGAGATATATATGGGCACTGTAAAGTAAGTGCAGAGGTTTAGTGGTAAATCATGGTTTGCTTCTTGCTCCTTAAAATCTCCGGCCTAATTTGCACATTGCTGGCGTACAGTACTAGTGCTCACAAAAATGATGAATGCTCCTTTTAATTAATTATAAATTAAATTTGCCTCCTGATCCGCCATTGCCAATTCACTATGGCTAGGGTGATCCAGAAATAGCTGGGTTTCTACAGCTTATCCCTATTTGCGTCTGGCCATCCTGTTCTACGGGGTTCAAACCCTACTGGGGTGGCCTGAGCAGGCCCAGGGTGGGGGGTTCCCCCTGCGTGATGGGGTCACAGGAGAACACCCACCCCACCCCCACCCCCTCGAAAAGAGGGGGGGGGAACCCCCACAGCTGAAGGGTGCCAGGGGCTCTGCCACGGGCTGGGCTTCATGGGGCAGCAAAGGCAGGGAGGCCCAAGCGTGCTGGCTGCCACAGCGGCGCTCAGAGCCGTGTCCCCTTTCCCACCCGCTTTTGGTGCCATATCAAGAGGTGAGCTGTAGTTCAGAACTGCTGCAGGAGATGGCAGTCATGGATTAGGCTTACCTGCCTGGGGAGGTGGTGCTTTTCGGGGTGAGCACCCAAAGTTTTGCTGTTCCCTCCGCCAGCAGCCATGGCCCCAGCCTGACAGACGGATTTTGGAGCCCAGCTGACGAGCAACACATGGCAGCAGGGCTCTTTGGGGACTGATGGTCCTTCATACAAAGTCACTTTTCACTCTGACTTCAAAGTGGTTTACTCTTGAAAACATCTAGAAATTGGACTTGAATTTCCCTTGAGAGTTCTTGGTGCACATAGCTGGTCATCTGATGAAGCTGCCCTTTCCTTAGTCCCTTTGAAGCCCTCCCAGTGACTTGAAAATTATTTGCAGAATATTTCCCAAGCAATTTATTTGACTATTTAAAAATTATTTGCAAAGTGTTTCCTGGCCAATTTATTTGAGATTATGTAATATTTTTAATCTTGCCTTCTTTGGAGTGGAACATTTAACATTGATCACTGGTAACTCAACAGATCCCTATAGTTGAGGAAAATGGTCTTTCACCAGAAGCTGTTATTTTAGAAGTTTCCCACAGTTGGTGCATGAGGCTCAAGCTAGTATATTCCAGACAAATTTAGTGTGCCCTGCATGCTTTGCAATAAATAGCTTTTTGGCTTTTGTCTTATGCACCTAGTTTGCATATAAATGCTTATTCATAAATTTTCCTCTCTGTAGTGAAATGCAAAATATGCTGAACTCTATGTGGAAGCACCTCACCATTGAATCTGTGTTTATTTTTTCAGTGCTGAAGATATAGTCGTGAAAGTGCCAGGTAGTCAACTAACAACAGAGTATTTGGAAGAAAATGGCTTTGTGGAGCCCATCCTCGTCCCAAAGAAGGACGGCCTGGGTTTGTCTGTACCTGCACCCACCTTCTACGTCAGTGATGTTGAAAACTATGTCGGTGGGTATCTGGCAAGCAGGTGGCATTGTACTGTTTGGAGCTCAGCTGCTTTTTAAAAAAATACATTTATTATTTGTATAAAAATGTTTAAAATATATTATTAATTATTGTCTATGTCTTAAGCAATGCTGATTTCAGTATTTGTTATGTAGTGGTAGCTTGTAATTAGCAATTCGCTCTTGTTTTTTGTACCAACTTGAGAGTGAGCCTGAACCAGACTGCACTGTAATCCGTAGCGCTGCATTAAAAGAAACAGTCATAGTAGCGTCAAGAAGTTGTTTCTTCAGGCCAGGTCTTAATTGATTACTGTCATCTTGCTTTGTATTGAAGGAAGTACTGGACTGAGACTCATATTCTGCAAAGGCAGTCCATTTTTTAACACTGGTGTCAGTGAGAGCTTTTTTCATTGCTGCTGGTCATTTGGATTCATTTTGGCACCTTCCTGTCTCTAACCTAAGCAGGGTATTCTACTGCATCTTCTCACAAGTCATCACATCATTTGGAAGACATACCCTGGCCAAGAGCCATGGAAGTACTCTGAAGTCATTTGTCTCTGAATCCTCCTTCCTTTAGCATGTGTGATCTTGTCTCTTGTCCTCTCTTGCTCTGTCCCTCCTTTGTGTCACTTCTGATCCAACTCTTTGTCTTTCCAGTCTTCTGTCAAGGAATCGTCCTTTGGGAGCCATGACTCCAGCTCCAGTGTATCTGTCTGCCTTTCATGGTCCCTTTATCTCCTTAGATAATCTGCTAACCACCCCTTCCTCCTGCACTGCTGTTCTTGACTCTATCTATTGCTTTTGCAGTGATTGTGTGCTGTGAGATAACTATGAATAAAGGAGAATTGATTTTATTATTTTCTCTATCCCATTGCTTCTACAGGAAACATACTTTCCTTGTCCATCTGCTACACTTAGCAGATTTTCCTGTATGACCTAGGTGTTCCTTATGCATCTGCTGGCTTCTAGCTGAAATAATCCACCCTCCCAACAGAAATGTTAGTGAAGAGCTGGAGGGAAGAACACAGGTTGTTTAATCTGAAGCTGGCACCAGATTTGAAAGTGAATGGCACAAATACGTGCTGGTCTAACTCCCATGGGGTTAGTTAGCTTGAATGAGATTTCCCAGTGAGATTAGTCTCTCTGTTTTGTAGTTTATTACACTGGACCAAGAATGTCTTTTAGAAACAACCTAAAGTAAGTAGCAGAGCATGAAACACCACAAACAAGACTGCCAAATACATCATTACTGTTCTGGCATTTCATGAAAAAACAAGTTGATTTTTTTTTTTCTCCTTCCTAATGTGAAAAAAGCTATCAATGAAATGCTGGGAGAGGAAAAATACGGCCAATTAGAATTGAAGGGAAGAAAGACTGGAGAGGTGATTTTCTTGCAGAAAGGATAAGAGAGTGTGCTTAGAAATAGGCACTCTTTATAAAGCTCTGACTCTCTCCATGCGTTCTCTAGTTCACTCAGTGTAAAATTCTACTACTTGAATAGTTCTTTTAGTATTAACACTGGAGATTTGTATTCAACAAGGTCTGTCAGAGGAAATGTACTAGCAGATTATCCTCTGTACTCTAATACCTAGGAAATGGATTTTTGATAGGTGTAATTTTGGGTAAAATAACAAAAATTAATTTTTTTTGTAGCACACCTGAAATGCCATGTTAAAAAATGGGAATTCTCCTGCAAAACTCCTCCTCGATTATAGCTTTCATAAGCAAAAATTTTAATAAAGCATAAGAGAACTCAGAATTTTGGAAAATCAGTATGACAAGATACTCTGTACCGTATTACACTCTGTCTACAATCACATGACTTTTACAGCGTAGTGGATAGACAGCATAGGGCTTACTCTGCGGTTATACGGGTATTTACATATAATTCTCACCAAGCAAATAAAATCAATAATGAAATTAATAGATTCAAAATAACATGAATCCTTTAAAGATAAAAACTACAGAAATAATTATGGAAGAGGCATGAATGCAAAAGCGCCATTTTATGCATATACATTTTATGTATATACATATCTTTTATATGTATATGTGTATACATACATAAACAATAGGAAAGATACAAAGGCTAAGAAGATCAGAAAATCAAAAGATTTAGATGTTTCTCAAAATGTTAACTCACTCTCAAGCATACAAAATGGGGCAAGTCAGGCTGCCCTCCAATCTCTCTTCTTCATTGAATTAATTTGTAGGACCAGAGAGGAGTGTTGATGTCACTGATGTCACCAAGCAGAAGGACTGCAAGATGAAGCTCAAGGAATTTGTGGATTACTACTACAGCACAAACAGGAAAAGGGTCCTCAATGTGACTAACTTGGAGTTCTCAGACACAAGGTAAGAGTACAGCCTGCTGCACGGTGCAGCGTCTGGGGTATGTGGCCGGCTTCGCCTGGGGGAGTTTGAACAGCCTCTGCCTTCTTCAGTGGTTCCTGCTTTAGGAAGTGCTGTTTAACCCTGGGGTAGTGGCTTCTTGTTGCTTTGACTCTCCAACTGCATCGTCCATATACAGCCAGTTGAGGCAGAGCACAGACGTCAAAATGCTAGCTGCTATATGAAGAGAATGGTATATAGCAGACTAAATGGGCCAGCGTTTGCCATAGTAATTTGTGCCTGCATATCATCAGCATTCATGTGCCATCAGCATTCACATATCAGAACAGAACATTTTGGAACCTTTCAGTTTTATTTTAACTCCGGTAGTATAGGTATAGTCTATACCTATATACTAGTCTGTACCTATATACCGGAACATAACTTGATGCTCCAGGCACCAATTCTCTGCCTTGTCCAGGTAGTGAATGAAAACGTAGTATGCTCCTAGTAAGATCTTAGGTAGTTAGGTGCAACCTGATAAATACCAGTAAGACCAAAGAAAGGAAGACAGAGATGACCAAAGAGGTATGATAACCCTGTATGTCGGAGAACATGGACATAAGGCATCTTATTTTTTAATATTCTGTGTTATTTTTCTGTTGAGATTGAAATCCTGATGGATATAAGGCAACGATATCACTTCTTCCAACTTCAGGTGATCTTGAAACATGGTGATCTCATTGGAGCATTCTTTTTTAATACATGTTGTACAGCAGTGAGCATCCTACTTGTGTAGCACTGATTTGAGTGCATCATATATTGCTTACTGAAATTTTCCATTTAAAGTAGCAGGAAGTGAGTAAATAGATGAGGTCTGGCTTTAGGTATAGCATAACATGTCACTGGACAGCCTTTAACGAGAATAAATTTGAAATTATTGTAATTTTGTAATCCTATGCTATGTGTTGTAGTTTTAGTTTCAGTGCTTTTGTGAGTTAATCTGTGATCTGTCTGACAGCAATTCAGAACTAGAGTGATGCTGATTTACTGGAGCCATGAATCCTGTTCCAGTGTATCTGTCTATGTTTCACGGTCCCTTTATCTCTTTAGATAGTCCACTAACCAACCCCTCCTCCTGCATTCTCCTTACCAGGAGATGGTACCACACCTTACCAGGTGTGATGGTACAGACCAACTCGGAGCTTGAGGATGAGATGCTTTAGTGATGCGGTGAGCCAGAGGTGATAGTGCTGGCTATGTGAATATCACCAATCCTCAAGGACAGGAAGCTTACTGTTCTCATGTTTTGTCTTATACATTTTATATATAGGATGATTAGCTGATGTAAATGCCTAAGAGTTCAAGTTATTGCTTTGTGCTTTATATAGTTGTATTCATCAACGGAGCTGTGCTTTTATTCCGGAAGTAGGCAGATGTATCTGTAATGTATTGAACTTTGTGCAACTGTGCAGATCATTTTTACAGTTCTTGTAGTCCTTCTGGGTAGCTAGTACTTCTAGAAGGAAAGCGTCAGAGAAGGAAAATATTCCTTTATAACCAAACACTACACAGAAGATGATGAGTGTCAACATAAAAATAATGGTTGTTTTGGGGAGCATTCCATTTTAGCGAGAAGATTTAAAGTACTTTTAAAAAGGAAAGCTGATGAATAACTACAAACTCATTTTTTTTTTTAAAGCCATTACCTTTAGCCCTGTAGTGTTTTAGCAGAGCAAAAAGCATCTCTAATAATTACAGGCTTCAAAGATTACCAGTATCTCCAGTTGAGATTTTTTTAGATTTCTGCCATTGTCCCAGAATAACGAGAGGTCTTTTGTTCTGAAGGACTGCTGGAGCCATCACTCATATGCTGCTAATTTGGACATTAGCAAATATTTTATTTCTTAATGTAGACAGTGACACTTTAATGGAATGCACTGCTCCATCTTTTCCTGCCATTTTAAATGAAGCTATTGTTATCAGTGTTTGACAGTAAGAATAAATGACACATGGGAGCATTTAATTTTAGTTTGAAATGTAGATACTCTTACTGATGTGATATTTTAGAGCATCCAACAGTGAACCTCCACCTCCTGCAAATACTAGTCCAAATTTTGGAGTATTTAAATATAAAATTTAGCACATTCTGGGATGAAACACTTTTAATACCTGTTTATCATGCCATTACATCATTTTAGCAGTGATTTATAGTATTTATTATATATTTAATATAAACACAATATTAAAATTCTATAAATAAACATACACAATATATGCTCAATGTAAATAAAGATATTCATTTGTATAAACTATATAAATATTATGTGTATTTTAAACATATTCACATTATCAACCCAAATTAGACTTTTTTTTTTCTTCTATGCTTTTATTGTAATTGAGTCAGTCTAAATAAAAAGATCACTGTTATTTTCATCATCAGATCAAGACAGACTTAGTCCTTAAGTATGAATGTTTTTGTTATTAGAATTTTTAGTATTCAGCTTAACTGGCAAATGTTTAAGATTTACCAGACCATTTATGTAAGAGCGCACGTTTCACTTTTTCTTCTGAAGGCTGGAAAAGTGACTGTAATAACCGTGCTGTCGATAACTCAGCCTCCATAGCAAGAGGCAGGGACTGGAAACATGCAAACAGTATATACTTGATCATAAATACTGTTATTGAAAGAAATCAAAGGATCATTGCTAAGTCGTCATACTTAAAAAGCCTTAAATCTCTGTCTGTAAGCCATTTTCACAAATTTTCAGAATGAAGAACAGTTCCACTGACACATAAGGAGCTGCTTCAGATTGCCATGCAAGTAATAGAGCCACACTCTGCATTTTGTTGTAGGAGGGTCCTGTGCTCTTTTTTAAAAAGAGGCATGTTTGTTTTCAATTCTCTCTGTAAAGGATGTCCAGTTTTGTAGAGCCTCCAGATATAGTTAAGAAGTTGTCCTGGGTGGAAAACTATTGGCCTGATGACGCTCTTCTGGCTAAACCAAAAGTTACCAAGTACTGCCTGATCTGCGTGAAGGACAGCTACACAGATTTCCACATAGATTCGGGAGGAGCTTCTGCGTGGTACCATGTGCTGAAGGTGAGGTGTCATGCCTTTGCAGTGTATCTAGTAATGAACTACATTTTATATGCAAAACCATCCTAAAATTCTCTCAAAAATTCAGGCCTCTGTTTTTTTCCTCCATGGTCCTGTTGTATCTGTAAGTAATATGCGGAGCCTTAGCTGCTGTAAGTGGGTATGCTCTCAGCAGTGCCAGGGTCTACAGAGTGAGGAAGCCACTTCGAGTGTGGATGTTGTCTGGGTATTTTCACTGTATTAGGATTTTAATATTTGTTTAGTGCCTTCTGCACATATGTCACCTCAGGCCTGAAAGATACAATGTCCTGCTTTTGCAGGGTAATGGAACCTGGCGCTGTAAACTTTTTGCACCGTCAGTCCCACAAATCTGAGCAAATGTGATCAGCTAGTGATTTATTTATTATTTATAATGAATAATTAATAATTATTACAGCCATTCTGTACAAAGCTGACTACTAAATTTTATTTCAATAGTGTTAAAATATGTAATGCTATATATATACTTAGATAAATACTTGTGCATGTGCATGTATCTGTGCCAGTGCAGCATTGTTTGGTTTAGCTGCTTGTTGCTAATTTTATATTTTCAAATACAGGGAGAAAAGATATTTTATCTCATCAAACCAGCTTCTGCAAATATTTCTCTTTATGAACGCTGGCAATCGGCAGCCAACCACAGTGAGATGTTTTTTGCAGACCAAGTAGATAAATGTTACAAATGTACAATTAAACAAGGACAGACACTCTTCATTCCATCAGGTGAGCAGGCTGTTGCAGGTGAGGTTTGCTGCTCATTTTAGAGCTGCTGAAATAGCATGTCCAAAATGCTGGAGGGATGTGATTTGATGATTTTCTCTGACAAAGTATGAAGTCTAATTCTCAGTAGATGTATAATTTCATATGCTTACCAAAAAAAAACCAAAAAACAAAAAACAAACCATAATTTTTACTGCTTTCTATTGATATTCTAGCAGCCTTTTAAAAATACAGCTAGTAGGTAGAATGTTCCACTCTTGGTCTAGGTGGGTTGCTCATGAGTTCTCTCTCTACATCCAGCCACGACACTGGTGCTTTTTGCCATCTAACAGAGAATTCATGTTCAATTACTTTTTGACCATGACTTCCCTTGGAATCCCCTTGGACTTCTCACAGCCATTGATTCCTCGTGACACTAAGGAACTATAGGTGCCTGCATGTGTGTGAGTGTGAATTTATGGTTTCACATGAGGCTGAAGACCTGGGTGTCATGGGTTTTTTACGGGCTTTTATTGCAGGTTAGGGATGGTGGATTTTGTTTGTCTCAGTTCCTGGGAGGGTCTTCGTAAGGACAGGGAGTTGATCAGAAGATAAGGCAGAGTTTTAAGTGAACACCGTTCTTCTCCTGCCCCTGTTCCTCACCTTCCTCTCACCATGAACAATTGCATTTGCATTGCTGTTTCCAGCACTCCCTGTTGCCTGTTGAAGTGATAATCTCATTGGGACAGGGATTTTCTCTCTCTCTATGTGCCTTTAAACGATGCACTGCCCACTTGATCCATAATCCGAGTTGAGGCTTCCAGGCAGTGTGAGAAGGTAACAGCACTGGTACTTGTGATTTGGAGGCAGCATCCAGTAGTGCCATTTTTCTGTGTGTGAGTGTATTCTTGCACAGAATGTTTACACACTTGAATTTTATTTTGACTGTAAAAGTGGAAGGCAGGTATTTCTCTCGTGACCATATGTGAAGCAGATGGAGGATTAAACACTGAGCAGTTTATAGATTCACTGATTTGAGTAGATTTTTGTATGAAAATAGATGTTTAGAAAACACCTGTTCCTGACATTACAATACAGATGGTGTCAGGAGCTGTCACAAATTTTTATGGTGATGTGAAAGCAGCTACCATTACGTAGCTGTTGCTGCTTTTCACAATAACAAGAAAGTAATATCACTGTGGGCAGTATGTCACCTTTCACTGTCTGCCACCATTGAAGGTAGTCCCAGGACTGGGAGTCAAAGGTGTGTGGCACCTTCCTGGACTGGGCCTTTATCACGCACAACAAAAAAGGGGCCAGATGCAACTTTGTTCAAAGCGTATGTGGTTCTGATGCTGACTTGGTCTGAAGAGCTGTATTGGTATTTAGGAAGTAAGTTGCTAAGTGAAGTATAAACATCATGTTGTGAATAAAGCTTTTGTTATTGTCACTCCAGTTTTTATCCTTAGGACTCTTGTCTTTCTCCTTCAGGTTGGATTTATGCAACTCTAACACCTGTAGACTGCCTGGCCTTTTCAGGACATTTTCTACATAGTCTAAGTGTTGAAATGCAGATGAGGTAATCTGTCTTTTAAAATCTAAAGTTATGTAAAGGCTCAGTTTTTAATAAATTGGCCATCCTCTCTCCTACTAATTAGCCTACATTTTCAGTAATGTTGATGTAGGTCTATTGGGCAATTTTGAAAAGTGTACTCATGTTTGTCCCCTTCAACTGTGTTCTCCCGTGCTGAGTTATTCCAAGCTGTCTTTGGACCTGTTGCATAGTGCATGGAAGAATATGTGAGGTGCTTCGATTGATGTGGCCAAGTCCTGAAGGAAGAACTGTTAAAAACCGTCAGGAGCTTTACCCTAGAATGTGCCATTCGCCTCCTGGATAAGCCCCCACCTGCTCAGCTGAGGTCTTTGCCCAGTGTAAGACAATACAAGTAGTTCTTTACTGATGCTGGAAGAATAATGCAATAAAACTGTCTTCCATCTGTATCGCACAGTTTCTTACTGGTGTTTTGGTTTTGGTCTGATGCCGGATACATGGTAGCAGCACAAAGAAATGAAGCACTGCAAAATGAACCTCAGGCATTTATGAGCAGTACTTGTCACTGCATGACATACTCGTGACTTTCTATGTTTAAGTTCATGTGGTTTTGTATTGCAGGGCGTATGAAGTGGAAAGACGATTGAAAATTGTTAGTCTGACCCAGTTTCCAAACTTCGAAACTGCATGTTGGTATATGGGAAAGCATCTACTAGAGACATTCAAAGGTAAAACTGCCTGCCTTGATTACTTAGCTTTGGGGACCTGAAAGAAGTTACTCTTAATTTCTGCTGATGTGCCACATATAAGATGGACAGATGGCCAAAATCAGTCTTGTTAGTATTTGAAAACTTCTTTTAACATACCAGTAGAACATGCTAGTCTGGTCCAGCTCTCACCTTAATATCCTGCTCTAGGAAGGACATTAACTGTCCCTCTTACCTATGCCTAAGGGAAGGTTTCATCTTCTTCATAAAATGTACTTCAGTTGCCTCACAGGCACTGAGAATCAAATAAAAGTTTTCTGTGAAATTCAAAATCCTTCACATCATACTCCTTCAGAGTTGATCCAGACATTCATGAGTGTCATGTTCTTTATAGATTCAGGCTCGCTTTGCTCTTTGCCTCTATTTCTCTTACTACAGAATGTATCTAGAGACACCCACCAGATCCTTTTATAATGAGAAAAATGTGTCTAATTAATAAGCAAGGTGGGGGGTCCCTCAGAGGGTCTCCTGGAAGGGACCCCTTTGTGACTGACTCTCTACAAAAAGTGTAATGAGGGGAGAAGTTTAGGCAAGCTTGTACTCATGCAGAAGTGAAATGCTTTGCCAATACAAGCTTTGTTTCCACATATTGATACTTGATTTTTCAGTCAGAATAAAAGAACTGCTGATGGTACCTTTTTATTCCCACAGCCTAGGATGTATGAACATGGAAGCTAGCTTGAGTGTGGGACCAAGAAAGGAGCCGGAAGGATTGCCAGTGTAGACATAACTTACAGGAGCACAGTGTAGGAAGGCTGAGTTGGATTTATGACACAGTAAATATACTCCTTATTACCATCAAGTTATAACAGGGATTCATTTGTGGTGACCAACTTTCAGAGTTAACTTTCACAGTTAAACTTTTTCAAATTAAAGACTTTATATAAAACAATTTTAGCTATCCATGTTTGAATCAAATTGTTTTTTTTTCCTTTACTTAGGTTTGCATAAAGCTGGGCAACAACCTCCTGCTCATTTACTCCAAGGAGCAAAAATTCTCAATGGTGCTTTCAGGTCATGGACTAAAAAACAGGTAGGAAAAGCAACTTGTTTTAATATTGTGTGTTTGTCAGGTTTGTCAGCCACTGGAACAGACAGCAAATGCTAGAACAAATAATGTCTCCATAGCAAACCAGCTAATTCTGAAATTCCAAGAAGGGACTGGGAGAACATGAAGGGAGGGCAACAGCTGGGATTTCATAGTGCCACATGAGGAGTCAGCAGAAAAAAAGGTACCACTAGAGTTTTAAAAAAATGTCAGTTCTGTACACAGCCAAAAGGATACTAAATGAATGTTCTCCCTGACTCTGAGCATTTTCATGTGCCAAATCAGTTAAGCAAGGATGTGTATGTGAGTGAGGCCTAGAACAACACCTGCATTTTTGTGTGCAACAGGTGCCCAGTTCCTGCAAATCAACATGTTACTTGAGCCAGGAAATACATATTGGTTGGAGAAAAGGGTTAAAGGGATTCGCAGCCTGAATTTCCTGCTGCAGTCATTTCAGAAGTGTTATTCTTGCCTGAGTTGTTCCTGAAGCTTTGGGGAATTAGCTGCAGGAGATAGGCTATTCAATCATAAAATGTGAACAGGGGAACTAGCAGCTTTAGTATCTTCTGACATTTTAAGAAGGGATGAGAAACTGAGTACACAGTACTGCATACACAGTTTGGTCAGTTAGGTGGCTGTCCTGGTTTTAAATGTAGTCAGGGACTTGGCTGCTCCCTACTGCAAAAAGACAGTGCTTGAGCCTAAATTCAGAATTGCTCCCTGATTACCTGTAGAAGGACTGACTGTTGTGGAAGCTCTCTTCTCCATGTCACCCTGTTTATTTTTCCACTTGCCATGTAGTTGAGAAGTAGTGAGTCAAAGTCAGGCTGCGTTGGCATTTAGGTAAAGTTGAACTTTGAATATTATAACATGACATGTGAGTGCAAATGTTGTTAGTCCTTTCAGGGAGCTCCCAAACCACTCTTCTGACAAGGTATATGCCTGTTATACTCATTGAATACACCAGCCCAAGATCTTGTTGTAGGAGTAGAAAAGGAATTTTTCAAGGAATCTTCATATAAGGGGTTGAGCAAAGTGATATTACAGTTGTGAAAATGCAATAATACCTGAAAAACACTATTGACTTTGTTGTTCTCTCAGGACAACAATTTACAATATCATCCTGAAGGAGGAAAAAGTATATTTTTTCCTTATTTGGACTACTGATGCAGTCAGTATTGATTTCAGTACATAGGAAAAATATGGGCCGGTCACTTAAAGAGGGTTTTTTTTTATATTTTATAAAAAGCATGCACAGAAACAGCAGTCTGCCTTTGTTGTGTTTTAGGCTTTAGCAGAGCATGAAGATGAACTGCCGGAAAACTTCAAACCAGCACAACTTATCAAGGACCTTGCCAAAGAAATAAGATTAAGTGAGGTTTGTGCTCTTTTCATAATATTAACTATACTGTGGATCTTTTAATAATCTAGGTTATTAAATGGATGAATGGAAATAAATTAATCTTTTTTTTCCATTCTCTTCGTTAAAAGAATTCATATGGGGTTTCACAGAAGGGGGATTGCTCAGGACTCTTGTCTGTGGCTGACTTGCCACATGTTCTGGGTTCCTCTTTGCTTTCTCCTTGGCTTTATGCTGTGTCTGCCTGTCCTACATCCTTTCTCCTCCACCTTCGAGCTGGACTGGCCACACTTCCCTCTCCATCCTTTTTTTCTCTTTCAGTTTAGCTACTCCCTACACAAAAATATGATAGAACTCAAAGAACACTGTTGCCATCCTCATGATCATGCTCCCTATGTAGAATCTCCTTTCCTTATGTTCATCATGCTCATCGGTTTTGTCTGTGACATTGTCTGAGCCTGGGACTATGATTCTGTACACTGTCCCAATGAGGAGGCCTTGCTCTTGTCTGGATTCTAGGCAGAGTTACTATAACAAATGCGATGATAATTATAACACACACCTTGCACCACCCGCCCCGCCCTCCCCCCAAAAAAACAACCCCAGAAAAGGAGGTTGCATGGAAGTATCATCCATTAAGTCTGGTATCATATTCTACTTAGTGGAGATGTGTGACAGTGTGACAGTGCAAGGTGACAACAGGTACTCAATTGTTTTAAGAAGACATTGTGTTACATTCCACCCTCTTTCTAACTATGTCAAAAAACCTCAAAATTGAAATTTATCTTTTCCTTTTATCCTCTTGGTGTAGTATGTAAGTGTACTGATTGTCAGAATGGCAAGTTAAGCAGAAAATAATTTCTTTTTAATTAGTCAGACAGTGTTAATTTTAATTGGGTAGTTATTTTATGGCTTATTTTTCCTGAGGGCATGAAACATGATTCTGCTGCATTTATCACATCTCAATTAAATGGAAATGATTTGTTCTCAAGCTGATTAGCATTTTAAACAAAAGACCATTCACTTTATACATTTATTTATATGGGCAGTCCATTTAACAGTCCTACCTGATGGCATAACCTGGTGAGAGTTACATTCCTTACGAAGTCACTGGAGTTTCTCCAGGCCAAACTTGTGCTTGAGCAATGTGGAAGCACGAATGAGTGGTGAGCAGAGCGTTACTGCGGCGTGTGATGTGGTCTTTGTTCCCTGGCCAGTCTGACCTGTGAATGTAGTTACCCCTTTATTGAAGGGGGAATCTTTGGGGTTTGTTTCCCCAAGGAAGGGAGGGTGCAGTTGAATATCTAACATGAAACGGGTGGGTCTGAATGCCTTCTCATTTTGTGCTAAACTACAGAATGCTTCGAAAGCCAGCAAAGCAGACGTGAGTGCCAACTCCAATGCTGAGGAGATCTGTCCTGTGGAGAAGGAGGAGGCACCATCACCTGTCCAAATGACGCCTCCGCCCCCACCTGTAGAAAAGCTCCCTAAAAAAAAGACTCCTAAAACTGTGAAAACCCCCAAACAACTGAAGCCATCCAAACCCCCCAAACCTCCCAAGGTACCCAAACCCCCTAAGCCTCCCAAAACACCAAAAGTTAAGGGAGAAGGAAAAAAGAAAGGAAAGAAGGCAAAAGAGAGTCCACCACCAGCCATCCCAAATCTCGACTTGCTGGAGGCGCACACAAAGGAGGCTTTGACAAAGATCGAGACGCCAAAGAAGGGGAAGGTGGGTCATATTTTAACCTCTCCCTGTTGTCTCACCGTAATAGGGATAAAATCACTCCTTAGGTCTCATGAAAAAAAATATTTAAGCAACACAGTGTGAAACCTTGTCTCCACTGAAATAAATGAATGGTTTGTAACTGCTAGCTTATCGCTCTTTTTTTACCTGACTGTTCAATTTGATTCGACTGTTTGCTTGGTTATTCATTTTATACGGAGTTTCCACGAAACCTATTGATTCAGACTGAGTCTGGCGTATGACTACTAGTTGCCTGCCCAAACTGAGGCAAGATGAAAATGAAGACATTTTTTAATGGCGTTTTTTTTTTCCCCTTGAACTATTATATTCTTATTTCAAGTGTTATTAGCACTTGTGTGCACTTTCATAATCAGTTATCAAAGATGAAGGAACTCATTTCTAAAACATCTTATTTGCATGAGATTTTGCTCTAGAATGAGTGTTTGAAGATAAAACAGTGGTTTGCTTCCATTTTTGCCCATGTAGGACAAGTTTCATTTTGATGTCCTTTAATTTGACATGAATTTAGCTGCTGACTTCAGTAGGGGCCAGGATTTCATTAAGGCACTGACAGAGTAATGTATTGCACACTGTTTGTTAAGAAGTATCTGTAAGTCTTTTCTAAAATGCTTCTGAATTTCCTAGTACTTTGTATGCAGTTTGCAAAACCTGACCATGGAGCAATAGGCAGGGATATTAGCATGGTTTTGTATGCTCTTTTATGTTGATGTATCAAAGAGAAATGCAGCCGGTCTTCTGCTTTATCTGACACAGCAATATTTGATTGAATCTCATACTTAGGTCCAAAAAGAATGAATCAGAAGAGGAGTTTTCCAAAATATATCATGTTATATTCCAAATAAAAAATGTGTTTCTGTAACATGCCAGCACTCCATCCTCATTAAGAGTACATACTGACTTTTTCCCCAGGCTGCAAAGAATGTTTTAAGTGTTCCCAATAAGGAAACTGCTAGTAAGCAGAATGAGGTGGAGAAATTTGAAGTTCGAGAGCAAAATAAAAGCAAAACAGAAGCCAAATGGAAGTACAAGGTAATGTCTCTTGTTAAATTCTGCTGCTGATTCTGCCACATAGTGATAAGTCAAGGGTGGAGAAATGCTCATAGGTCTACCTAAGCAGAGAGTATGAGGCACCAATTTTCACTTCCCAAAGAAGAAATTTTGAGCAGGAAATAATCAAGTAATCACTGATAAAGGAGGAAGGGCAGATTCTTCAAAAGTATATGATGAATTGTCCATCTTCATCCTTGGTGAATCCAGTGGGAATGCTGTTAATAGTGAGGTTTTTCAGTGCTGATCTCTTTAGTGATTCTTACTTTACCATAGTCATACTGCCTTAAGTCTGGAGTAGTTCCAGATAAATGATAGTATAAAAGTAGAGTCAATGAAATCTGAATTATGCCACATTAATTAAAAGCTTGCCTTCCTGGAAGGCTAATGTAGGGTGAATAAAATTCATTCATAGAGTAATACATTTTTTCTCCAGGTACCATTTAAAACAAGATGACACTAGGCTTTCTCACAGAAATAGCTGTCTGCATTTTGCCTGCTTTGTGAACTTCTGATGACAAAGGTGCAAACAAATTCCTCAAAACAAAACAAAAATATATACTTTTTCACGTGGGGAAACTACTTAGAATCATGAATTATTAACATTAGAGACATTAAATTTTTTGTGTTAAAATAAGTCGTGGTTAATGTGATTAGATCAATACCTCCCAATTAATTCTGCAACCAGTACAGGTTAGGAAAGTATTAAGGCAATGCTTAAAAAACAATCAAAGGTTTTCCTTGCACTGAATGACTTTGATATGAAATTATTAAATTCATAATTCAAGCTCTTCTGAAGATGTGAAAGCAACAAGTGGAGCCTAGTAATAAAATGCAGTCATATTTGCAAGGTTACAGACACTGTGCTAGATTCCCTCCTTAGCCACACAGGCATGATGCTGCTAAGTAGCATGCTTAACCTGTGCCCTGATTCACAAAATGTGTGATTTGTATTTTACCTCAGTCTGTGCCAACTGAAGAGTAATATTTAAATTTGGCATCGTGTTTGTGGCGGGCAGTGCTTAAACTGGTGCTAAAGTGCTTCTTGAATGGGGACAAGTGCCTGAACTAAAGCCCATATTAGTCTATGGAAAAGTGTAATCCTCTATTACTTACCACATCTGGGGGAACATATTTTTCTCTGCATATAGATCAGTGGATTCTCTGAGGTTACCTAGGAATCTGAAATACCAACAAGTCATATAACTGATTTTATTACTGTGTTTTGGGTCTTCTGCCTTTTAGAACAGTAAACCTGATTCACTTCTTAAAATGGAAGAGGAACACAAATCTGAAAAGACACCTTTATCGGGAAATAAGGACAACAAATTTACATTTTCTTTCTCTAATAAGAAGTTGCTTGGGTAAGTAAAAAATATGACAATGCACATCAACTTAAAAAACAGATTAAAAAGTCATTAATTATGGGTTTTTTATAAGGTGAAAATCTGCCTTTCTCATCATTGTAGAAAATACACTTACGGAAGAAGTTCTTCAGTGTAGAATTGTTTTTCCTAGAACTCAACTTAATTTGCCATAACAGCAAAGGCCTATCTTTGAGGCTGGTAGCTTGCTTGAGAATAGTGTCTTCAGTATTCAGGCAGTGTCACATGTTTTGTCACTTCAGGTTCTTACCAGTTGAGTTCTATTAGGTGGTTTTTGGGCAGATCCTATTTGGGGTACATTTTTAAGAAACTGTTATATTAACTTTGCATACCAAAATTCCATGCTGTGTATGCATTATGCATATCATGATATACTTTGAGACAGCTTTAAATAATACAGTGCTTATTTGAAACCAGCCAAGATGACTCTAGATGGCATCATATTTTGAGATATAAATTGTAGGTTCAGAAATACGTTTGTAGAATTATTTGAATTGCTCTGGCACCTCTGAAAGTATTCAAGTTGACTGAGATTTCTGCATAAAGATATTCATTGTCGTCTTCTTTGTCAACTCACAAAGTGTTTTCCTGTCAGAGTGTTGTATTGATTTGTAATTTTTTTTTTTTCAGTTCAAAGGGAGTCAAAACTCAGCTGAATACTAGTGTGTTTGGGTCACTGCAGAATTTTAAAGAAGACAAAGCAAAACCTGTGCGAGATGAATATGAATACGTGTCAGATGATGGTGAACTAAAAATTGATGAGTTTCCAATCAGAAGAAAGAAAAACACTACAAAGAGAGAACTGCCCTGTAAGAATATTTCCTGTTTTGTCTGTATGTGCACAAAAAAGTCTTAGGTGTTGATTGTCCAAAACTAGTCTTTAAAATCTATGTGATTTATAATAAAGCAAGCTATGTTATGGCTGTCAGTCAAATATAAGTGGATTAAGACTGCTATTTTTTGAAGGGAAAAGAACCATGACTTTGTTTTTCTTTTTTTTTTTTTTTAATTCAGTTTTATCAGATAAAAAAGACACTCTACAGCACACTCCTGTTAAGAAGCCAAAGGTGGAGTCGGTATCCTACAAGGTATGGTTATTATTGTACCTATCCCAAGAAAACACCCATTGTATGTCTCTAACAGTGTGGGGGGCAGTACTGTGATGGCAGTAGTGAAGCCTTCTGACAGGCTGTTGTCACATCCTCTCCTTCATTCTGCAGTCACAGTTTGCCCAGAATAGGTAGCATTCAGACGTTGTCAGGACTAAGCAAAATTTGGTACTGTGGCTTGAACTGCTTGTACATGATCAGGCCTGATGGGAAGCTTGTTAACACAGGACTGTAGGTGACTGAAATGTTTGGCCCTAAAAACTAAGGAATCCTTTTCATCCTGGTTTGGCCCAGGGACATTCAAGAGCAAGTGCAGACAATTGGCTGTGTTAATAGTCTTGCAAAATACAGACCTATGCCCTGATGCATATCTGGGCTGACAGAGATATGGCCACACATTCACTTCTTTTGCTACATGGGTCGTGGTCTCAAGGAGAGGAGCAGAGGCTGAGAAGGCAGCACAGCACCTGGAAACACCACTGTGACAGTGGTTTGATCCCATGCACAGGATCAAATCTTAAACATGGTTCTCCAGGGTTGGAAGGGGAAAGAAAAACCCAGCATGCCTACAGGCTGCGAGGAAACTGGGTTTTTTACTATGTACCTACTATTGTTTGGGCTTTTTTTCTTTAATTAAAGCACATTACGAATGCTAGCCTAGTGTCTTTGGAGGAGCAGCAGGCTACAGAAATTTTGGTGTTGTTCTTGTTGACTAACTCAATGAGTTTCCACTTTTTTGAGCTTTTTCCTTGTGTTTTCAGAGCGATGACTCGTCAGATGAAGATTTGCTTCACATTGACACAGAGGCAAAGCCAGGACGCAATTCCAAAGTAAAGAAAGAAAGTGGAAGTTCAGCAGGAATTCTTGATCTTTTGCAGGCAAGCAAGGAAGTTGGGGGTTTAGAGTATAACACCAACAGGTATGCACCACAGGACGTTTTTTCCTCTTACTCATAAACAAAAGTGCTCTTTTGTGGTTGTGTGTGTGAGTGAGAGAGAATTAATTCTGCATCTTAGTAACTTCTTTTTCTCCAGTAAGCAAATTCTTCCTTTATCCTGTGATCTGGAGGGAGAAGTCGGAAAGTGTGTGGGAAAGATTTTGGTGGTATAATTTTAACAAAGAGAGGCATTTCACATCTGTAAATGCTGAAAATCCATTTTAGCAAGAGTACTATAATAGGTGAATCATTCAAAAGGAAGAAAGAGTTCAGTGAATGCAGCTTGAGGGGATGAATAATGTTTTTAAATATAGTAATAATGTAAGTAAATAATGAATATAGAATAATGTAAGTAAAAGTAATCTAAATTACCAGCATTCCTTCCATAAGGCATTGTAAGGTGCTGTGCAGTTCCCCAAATGTCAAATGTTTGGAAGAAGAAAATAGGAAATGGCCTACCCTCCCTCACAGCTGTGCTCATCATTCTTCTACCCACCAAAATACATTACTTGGAAGAAAACAAACTCTTTTCTATACCTAAAATGGAAGTGCTTGCCTGGGCTTGGTTGTGTTTCATATGGGACCACTGTAGGTGCACACTGAGTTTGACAGTGGATGTTCTGAAATATGGTTAATAAGGTACAGCACTAGATCTTCTAGTAATCCAAACAGTGAGCAGTGAAAATTAATGCAAAATTGGAAAATATGATTCCTAGACTCAAATCCTGCAGTTCAGGACTGTCTGGAACAAGGATTTTGTTTGGACCCGTCTCAAAACAAATGTATGGGTTCACTACCTCGACTCTTTACAGGCCAAATCTGATCTTAAACTACTGGTAGAGAATTAGGTAATAGAAACATGTGTGTCATTTTGAGAGAAGCTAGTGGGGCTCTTCACATGTGGAAAAGTCTCGCTTAACTCCAAACCTTAGGAACAAATCCCCAGGAAGGGGTTTTGGGAACGTCAACTGAGTTTATGGCTTCCATGCACATACTGGCACTGCAGACATTCTGCGTCTTATGCCCTGTGCTCTTTAGTAGTCTGATGATTAAATAGATCTTTGCTGCTGCAGTCCTAATTGTATGACTTGTCCCCTGTCTTTAGGAAACCAGAGGTATTCACCTACACACTTTCCACTGCTCGACAGGGACCACAGCCTTGGTACTTTTGGATGCTCTTGGCTGTTGGTAAATTGCTGGCACAAGTTTATAGCCTCTAAATATGCTTGTTGTGCAAACAAAGGAATTACCCTCTGAAGGGTGAGAATGACAGGTTAGGTGGTGATGTGGGTAATGATGTGAAGTGTACGGTAAGGCTGTTCTTGTTTGCCATTTAATAAGCCAGTTCCATCTCTGCTCTGCCTTCATTGGAAAACCACCTTCACCAGGCAGGCAGGTCATGTTGGTTCTCCAGGCTGGCTGCTTGAAACAGCATTTATCATACTTGTGATTCCTATAGCAGATGTTGCATGGAAGCAAGAGGTCTGCTGCACTGTTTTATACGTGCAAAACAGCAAAACCAATCTGCTTTGAGTAGTAAAGCCAGATACCCCATTCAGTGGTTGCTGGGGTTCCCCAACAGCTTCTTTTTCCTCCCTGCTTTCTCTAGGTCTGCCTTGGCTATACAAAGCCACAGAACCTGTGGAGGAAGTAGAAATAGCTGTAGGAGTGGTCTGAGAGTTGAGAACAGACTGGACAAAGAGAGAGACTGGTGCTGGCCTTCTTGCCTGGGCTGTGCCCTTGATGGGTGTTTGGTGTGTGTGACCCAGGAAAAGTGCAGCTTGCAAATTGGAAAGGACCTGTTAAAGTGGAATGAGAAGGTCCCCTCAGAGAGGAAGATAATATCTAAACCTGGGAAAGACTGGAAGTGAAAAGCCATAACTGAGAATTCCAAAACATGTGCCTCATGGTCAAAGGGGAACATACAGAATAAGTTACCAAGGGAAACCATAGAAGCAGATTTTATCGATGAGTTTAAAAAAAAAAAAAAGAAGGAGATATTTTTGTTGTTGTTGTTGAGAGAGAAGATGGAATTTTTTAGGGTCACAGTGTGGTGACAGAGCTACGGAGAAATCTAAAGGAGGGGATGTTGCTGAACCAGAGACAACTTCTGGTTCAACTTTCTCAATTTACTAGGGAATTGTCTGTTTCACAGCTTAGATAGTTGCAAGAGATTAAAGCGCATATAGACTGGTTTCATGCAGGTTACATCAGTTATGAAGTACCAGGCAGGTCTGTGAGAGACAGTCTTGTCTTTGTGCATCAATATTTAGGGTTTATTACTTGTGACAGCACAGTGACAGAGATCCTCATCTCTGTGTGGAACAGAGGTGTGAATGCGGAGTCTCCTATAAGAGAGGTGAAAAAGCCAGTGATTTTAAAATCAAGTAATATAGTCACTACAAATCCTTAGAAGGGTTATTTTGACAAGGCTGCTACTTCTATGGAAGATATATAATCTCAGTTTAGTCCTGGTTTTCCTCCATTGCTGCCTTCCCCCTAGCACAGAGTGGTTGATCGAAAGAGCCGACCACTTGCTGTGATTGCAGAGGATATGGGGAAAGGTACTAATGTGTCTGCAGCTCCCAGGACTTAGAATATTTTTTGTTGTTTGAGCTCAAGTGGGTCAGTGGTTATAGATTTTCCTGATCTCTTGAGATTTGGCCCTGACTCTGCACCTGCTCTTCAAAAGAAATAATCACATTGACATTTGTCTATTTGACTGTTCCTGTGAATTCCTTTTCCATTCTGTGTTATGGTGCATAATGGAGCTAGTGTTTATATCAAATTTATACATATATTTTGGCAGGTAATTAGACATGTCAGCAAGTAGTTGGGTGTGTCTAACTCTGGGAATATAGTTGCCAGTGTAATATGATTCCTGTGCTTGAAATTTGATGTAAAATAAGAAAATTTATCAACCATTGTAAGAATTAAAATCAATCTGCCTTGGCCATGTTTACGCTACTAACCATTCCATGTACAACATGGTTTGCTGCCTGCTTATGATGTGCAGAAATGCAGGGGTGTCCTGGTTTGGACTGAAATAGAGTTAATACTCCTTTTCGGGAACTAGATGAGTGCTGTGTTTGGGATTTAGCTTTGGGTTTGGTATGAGAAGAATGCTGATAGCACACTGATGTTTTCAGCTGCTACCGAGACTTCAAGGACTCTCCGACTCCCCATGTCCTGCCCGTGCGCAAGGGCACAGGGAGCAGGGAGGGAGCATGGACAGAGCACCAGATGCAAACTGGCCAGTGAAATATTCCATATCATGGAACGTCATGCTCACTAGAGGAGGGGTGGTCGGGAAGGGGCTCACTCTCTCTCGCTTCCGGGATTGCGATTGCGGGATCTTGGTATTTCGGGATTGCTGGCCGGGAACGGGCTGGGGATTGGTCAGTACGTGGTGAGCAATTACATTGTGCATTGCCCGTTTATATTTTTCTATTACTGCCATTGTTCTTGTTTTATTACCATTATTAAACAGTTCCTATCTCAGCCTGCGAGTCTCCCTTTTCCCCTCCAATTCCCTCCCCCATGCCCAGGTGTGGGGGGGGAAGGGTGGGTGAGCGGCTGCAGGGTGGTTGGCTGCTGACCAGGCTCAAACCACGACAAGGGGTAAGTGGAAAAAACAGGTCAAAGAAACGGTCTCAAAGATTCTCTTCCTTACTTGGGAGGTGTCTTTTGCTATCTGCAGCGGGTTAAAACTGCCACTCAGTAATGGGATAGGACTCAGGCCTTTCGTTTTTCCTCCCTTCAGCCAGGGCTCTGTACCTAGTGTATTTGTAGACTTTGTGGTTTCTGAAATCAAAGTCACAAACACAGTCATGTAACTAAACTCTGCATAAATTGCTACTCTGTGTGTGGTGGTTCAGTGGGAATGTGTCATATCAATTTTGGCTCTTGTATAAACAATTAGGCTTTGACAGCATGTGTTGCAGCTTGATTGAAAAAAGCTCCCAATAAATGAAATTACTGTTTCATTTCATGATTATGCTAGGCTTTTTAAATGGCCATAACGCTTTTTTTTTTTTTTAATGGAAGAAACATGATATGCAAACATACTGTGTCTCAACATAATGCCAATGTGGTCATGTCTGACTCTCAGGAAAAATTTCCATCTTTCTCCACTTGTAAGGCAGATAAAGGGTAGGCATATGTATGCATTTATATATGTATATACACATATCAATATATATATATATATGTATGTTCATTCTGAATACTCCACACAGCTGTAGTGCAGGTAGGTCTATGTGGAACTCCTTTGCTTACACAGTGGTCTGTGCAGATGAGACAGCTATCAAATGGGGAGCTCAAGCATGGAGCCCTGTCAGACCAGTGCCAGAGCTACTGAACCCCAGCAGTAACTTAGGAAGCAGGTCAGGGCTTTTTGTGATAATGACCTTATCTGAATTGTGTGAAACTTCATTCTGTAAAATATTGGACTGTCATTTGCAGCTGACCAAACCAAATGCCTTGATGGCATTACCTAGATTGCTCCAAAGAGCTGCATCTCCTGTACTTACATCAATGGTAGTGAGATGCGGAAGGATAATGACAGATACCCTGCAGAAAGGCTGCTGTAAATGTGGAAACAGCCTGAAAGAACTGAAATGGAATATGGAAAAAAGCTTGCAGGGACTGGTAGTCACATGATCTTGAACTGAGCGAAATTATTTGTTGTTTCCAGGTCTGATTCAAAAATGGACAGAAATATTGGATTTGTACTTGAAATTTGAATTCCATAGTTTTATACAACTGTGACTTCTCCAAAATATAGAGAAGTCATTACTGTCTTGGCTCCATTTCTTTGTGGTTCATTTGTATTTGACCATGGGTGGGATGAGGGAAAATGCATAAACGACAGGGAAATACTGTCACAGAGAGAGGATGGTGATTTTTGGTTTTCCCCTCACATGCTCAACTGTATTTCAGTGGTTCTTACCTGCGGTATTCCAGAGCAATGGCGGTTGGAAGGGACCTTGGGGAGTCACTTAAGTGCAGCTGCCCGCTCACAGCACAGCCAGCTGCAAAGTTTGAGCTGGTTGTGCGGGGCATTGCCCTGGTGAGTTTTAAATATATTCAGGGATGGGGATTCTGCAGCCTCTCCATATGAGCTGCTTGGCCACCCGCAGTATGGACCTTTTCTTCTTGTGTTGGGCTGGGATTTCCCCTGCTTCAGCTTGTGACCACTGCCTTTCATCCTACTGCTGTGCACCACTGAGAAGGGTCTGGCTCTGTCTTCTCTGTAACCCCATGAGATAGTTCTTGGTTCAGGTTAGTTTTTATTTCCATTAATAAGATGCTCAGTGGTTTCTTTGACTTTCCTTTGCCCTTATCTGTTTTTTCCCTAACCTTAAGATGAGACTGGGCGATAGTTATTCAGAGGCAAGATGAGACATTAATGAGCTTACTGTGTCTCATCTCCGCCTTGCCCTTCAGTGCCTTCAGCTGTCTGTGTAGGCAGCATGAAGAATGGAGAAGCCACCCCTCAATGAGTAATATTCTGCTGAAATTAATAAATTCAGTTTCTAAACATGAGGATACAGGTGAAAGGCTCAGTAATTGCTTATGAATAGAAGGAGATGATCTGCCTAGAGATGCTGAACCCTCAGAGGCAGATGACAGTGGTAGAATTGATTGTGAAAAGTGAGGCACCAGCTTCCTGCATGATATCCTCTCCTAACGTCTGGGTGTTGGGATTGTTCCTGTGCTCAGACAGCACAGGGGGCACCATCGACTAAGGAGGTGATTTGAGCTCAGAGAGAAACTGAGCACCACACAGCCGCTCACTCCCTTTTCCCCCCCCAGTGCTGAGAAGGAGAAAATAAGACAAGGCTTGGGATTCAAGATAGGACAGAGAGGGATAAATCACCCATTACAGTCACAGGCAAAAGATAGACTTGTTAGGGGAAATAAAAAAGAACATGAATTAATCACAGGCACTAACAACGACACTTAACAGAGTAGGACAGTGAGAAGCATTGACACATCTTGAGGACACTTTCCCCCCACCCCTCCCTTCTTCCCGGGCTCAGCTCTGCTCCCGATATCTCTACCTCCTCCCCCAGCGGCGCAGGGGCAGGGAATGGGGGGTGCAGGCAGTGCTGCTGCTTCTGCCATCTTAAGAGGGGGGAACTTCTGGAGCTTCCTCCCCCTGCTTCAGCGTGGTCCCATCTCACAGGAGACAGCCCTCCACAACTTTTCTCCAACTGGATTCCCTCCCACGGCTGCAGCCCTTCCCGAGCTGCTCCAGCGTGGGACACCCCCGCATGCTGCAATCCTCCCAGTGCTGAATTACAACAGCGGGGGCTGCTTCTTCCCTCAGAGTCCCAGCCTCCTTTGGGCACATTCCCCTTAATTGTTCATATGGGAACCCCCACAGACTGTATATCAGTGTCTGCTCCACCGTAGACCTCCATGGATGTTAGGGGGTAGGGGCCATCTCACCACAGGATACAGGGGGGTCTCTGCTCTGGCACACCTCCCCCCTCCTTTCTTCCTTCGTTCCTCCACTGACCTTGGTGTTCACGCAGCTGCCGCAACTCTTCCTCACAACTCCCAACTCCTCCTCCCAGGTCCTTTCTTAAATACGTTATTGCAGAGGTGCAACTGATTGACTCGGCTGACCTGGAGCCAACTTTGGAGCCAGGGAGGCTTCAAGAAGCTTCTCACAGGAGGCCACCGCTGTCTCCCCCTTCCCTGCTACCAAAAAACCCCACCACTCACTCAAACCCAGGACAGGAGGTAAAACCTTAGTCTGTCAGTGCTGAACTGTACGTATTCTTGTCACGATTGTGGCTGTTTGCCTATTGCCACCTGCTGTGGAACATGCTGTCAGGGAAAGGATACTCTTGTCAAACCTAGTCAGGTAATGCAGGCAATGTGAAAGCCCCAAAATGTAGCCTGAAGAGCTGCTTTAAGCTCTCCTCCCTGATGAAGATACTGCTAGCCATGTCAAGCTGTTCTGGGGAACTGAGGCCCCAAGGCTTAAACCCAATACAACAAATAGTTGCAGAGAGAACTGTGTGTGGGGTGCAAAGCCATCTGTGCCATACAGACCAATGTCTTCTTCCTCAGGTTCCCACTGGGATGAGTTACATTTCCCTGCTCCTCATCACACTGTCCTGACCAGCTCTGCAAGGCTGGTCAGCCCTGGGGGAGCTTTTATTTGGGATTAATTTTGACAGCATGTTTTCCCTTCTGTTACGGTGCTTCTCTGTTAATAATGTGAAAATGTGCTGCCAGTTTCAACTCTTGGGGAACAGCAGCAGAAAAGCTGGTGATGATGGTGCGCGTGGCTTGTTAGCAGGCTCGGGAGCTCAGGCTGCTCTGTGTGGGTACAGGCTTTGCCCATCAGGCTCTGTTCCAGCTCAGAGTGGGCTCTGGGTGGGAGCTGGGCCTGGCATACCTCAGACTTGTCCTCCACAGCTCAGCCTTGTGGGTCATTCATGTGGCCACTGTGTTTTGGCCATGCCTTTTTGACCGTCCGAGTGGTTCTTTCGCCTGTGGACCATGCAGCAGCTGCACCAAGGTTTACTGCACGCTACTGGGTGTTTCAGGGGAAGCTGGCAGTTTCCACTGTGGACCTCTTTCAGTTCCTGCACTATACGCAGCTGAAAATCACCAGGTGCTTGCTAGGCAGCAGTTACTACCGTAAACTAATCTCTCAATCATGTGTCCACGTCTTTACAAGAGTTAAAGTAAACAATAAAATCCTGAAAAGGAAGGCCATGCAAAATGCTGAAGTGGAGCCCACTGCAAAAAGCACAAACTACTACCAGTCAGTTTGTTAAAGTGTCCTTTTCCTGGTTCATCCACATCATTTTTTAGCTTGAGGAAAGCAAGGCTGCCAGGATTTGCAGAGCAGTGGCAGAGTCTGTGCTATCGCCAAGTGCCACCTCACTTTGTGTTCGAAGGGCCCTGGCCAGACGATGGCTGGGAAGGGAGCACAGGGGCAGAAGCACTATGACTGCTCTGCTCCTGCTCTCACACTCATTTCAAGTGGTTTTTAAGTCATAGCTGTAACCCACAGATAGTTTACTTTCATAAATGTTTTAGGTTTTGCTTTTTGTTTGTTTTTTTGTTGGGTTTTTGTTTGTTTTTTTTTTAAACTTTGCTGAAGCTACAGAAAGGGGAAATGGCCTTCCAGGGCTTAAAAGTTTCTGATTCTTCTTGATTTTTATTTTTTTTTTAATTGGCTTAGAAAGCTGAAATAATTCTAATGGAAGTACACGCAAGCACATGCCCTAATGAGAAACACTTTGCTCTGTGTGCAGCTCTGCCTTTTTGAGACACGTCACCCACACATTCAGATTGCAGTTTGACTCTCAGGACCACTGGTTTTGATCATATTCCACAATTTATTTGTTGAAGCTTGTGTTGCTTAAGGCATTTCCTCTCTGATATGCCCATTTAGTGGTCAGTGTTTGATGGTCTGTTTGCAGTGTTTTGAGAGTCCAGTGTTTGTAAAAGCAGTTGGGGAAAAAAAATTGAAAGAAAATATGTTAATTTCTTATAGATGGTGCAAAATATGCCTTTGACAGGCAGAAAGCTGAGGCATCTGGCATATGATAATGAAGGGATTAAAATGTCTCTTTCCTAAATACGTTTTGAGATGTTCTTCTGTTTGTTGAGTTTCTAGCTGCTAACACCAGTCTTAACTCATTTTCAGGATTATTTATAAATGCAATTAGTGTCCAGAAACTCCCATTATGTCTTGTACGTTAACTCTATCTGGAGTCCTGTAATGGTTTAAAGTGGATTAAATTAAGATCAACTAAGAGAAAGTACTGCTAATTTGCTTGGGAAATGCTGTATGTTAGTAGCTTCTATTGAATAACTAAAAAAATAGCATTACCACAGCAAGTTTTTTTGCATTTCACTATATGTCCAAACTCCAAAGTTCTGGAAATATTTGATGATGTGTTCTGCCTGCCGCAGAATTCATGTCTGGTGGTTTTGGATGAGATTATCGTTCTTCTATGTTCTTCTATATTGTGGGGAGCGTGCTTTCCCACTCACTAAGTGTACATGCCAGTCAGAATTTACACATCATTTGACCTCAGCCTGCTCTGTGGGAATGTATTTCTTTCTGTAGTAGATGTGCCATGCCTGTTGTCAACTGGTAATAAAATACCAAAACTCAAGTTCAATGAAAGCAAGGTTTCCACCCACCCTGTAGCCCATCCATCCAGTCCATATCTCTCCAGCATCTCCCATAATCAATCCATCCCACATCCACATCAGAAAACCCTCCTGATGCACTGCAGAAATCTCTTGAATTGCTTGTGCCCTACCATGTTGCTTCTTCCAGCAGATTCTGGAGTGGTGACAGCTCCCAGCATGAACAGCCTGTGATCATGAGCTTCCTTACAGTTGTTCATATTCTCCCTCCCTTTGCTTGGCAGTATGTAGCCACCATGACATCCCCCTCCAGCACTGACCCATAAGCCCTCAGAGTTGGTAGTAGAAACATTGCGTTGTTGGGAATGCTGTTATAGACTTTGAAAAGTTACCTGACCCCTGTTCTTGCCCACCAGCAACAGCACCTCCGGCCAGGGAGCTGCCCACCGCATGCCCGGCCACACAGCACACAGCTTCCCAGCTTTGGGGGCAGCAACCCCAAATCTAACGCGCTGTCTGTGATATTGCATAAAAATAACTGGTGTCACTCGTGGCGTGCCCAGCTGCTCAAAGGGCAGTAATCGGGAAATCTCCTCTAACAACACCGTGCAGTGAAAGGAGTCAACTGTTTGTGAGGGGGTTTGCGTTTTTCTGGAATCGCTAATAGCTCCTGTATTTCTCAATGTTTCTCCACAGTCAGCCACCTGCCTCACCCAGCACACAAGAAGCAATCCAGGGCATGCTATCGATGGCAAACCTCCAGTCGTCAGAGTCCTGCCTCCAGACATCATGGGGTACCAATCAGGCGAAGAGTAACTCCATCTCCACACAAAACTCTAAAAAAACAGGTGGTGGCAGCAACAAAAACACCAGCAAGCGGTTACTAAAGAAAAGCACAAAGAACAGTATTGACATCGAAGATTACGACGAAGATCAGGATCACTTAGATGCCTGTTTTAAAGATTCAGACTACGGTAAGTGCAAACAAAGTCTTCTGAGTGAGTGTGTGCCTGGGTATGCAGTTACATATTTGTGCATGTTTGCAGATACCTCCTATGTTTCCCACGATACTCTTGCTTGCTTTCTGTCACATTGTAATCGACTGGGTATTTTGGTAAGGAAGAGTGCAAATAGCAAGAGGTCTGCATGGCAAAATTAAGCAAACACAGTATGATAGGTAGACTGACTACAGAGCTGGTGATGATACGACTATCTGAGTAGACGGTGTTTGAGGCATGACACAATCAGATCTTAAGAAGCATGAAGGCCCACTGAAACCGCAGGAGTCAGTCAAGAAACAGGAAACTGTCCCAGAAATGTGTGTCAGGTACTGGTACTTATGACAGAACTGTCTTTGTCTGCCCAGTAGCAATAAAATATCTAACTAAGATGAGAGAGAAGTTGAATTTGTACTTGGGAAAGGGATCCAATTGTATTTTGAGTGTTGGCAGAGAATGCAAGCATCTGAAGCAGAAATGGGCACAAAGCCAGTTTGCACCAGTTATATCAGTTCTGCCGTAATAATCTGCAGAACCATTTTTGTGTATAAGTGAGGAAATGAAGAAAAGTAGTAATGTGAAGACTGGTAGGGACTGGAAAGCCTGAAGTCCCAGAGAGGGCAGGAAGTTGGTAGAGATTTATGCTTCATAACAGGAGAGTCTATGTGTGTCTTCAAGTCTCCCTGGCAGGTGTGGCCATCAGAAATCATTTGTTGTGATTGGAAAAGTTGGGTCTGTCTTTTCATGTTATTAACAGAGATGCCAAAGAAAAATGGAGGTGCTGTGACGTGTTGCAGAAGGCTGCCCAGCCATTTAGAGTGCACTGCATGCACTGGGATGCAGTGGTAGTGTTTTGGGAAAGGGGAGCTCCAAGAAGCTGTTGGACAGGGGTGTGGTTTACAGACAGATGCCACGCATGAACAAGGCTCTACTCTGCTGAAGGGTGGATTTGCTCATTATGTGCCTGTGCTGCCAGTGAACGGAGAGTCTTTGTTGTGAGCAGGCTTGGTTTTCAGAGGCTCTGTTTGTGCCACATCTGATCAGCAGACTTCTAGTGTCAGTGGCCAAATGCCACAGTAATGCCAAAATCACCAGTGATGTAACAAATGGCAACTGGCCAGAAAATCAAACGCATGTGAAAAAAAAAAAAAAAATACAGAAACTTCATAGTACAGGCTGGGACAAAGTTTATACAGATAAATTGGTGTTTATCCCAGAGGCCTGTGAAGGGTCGTTTGATAGAATGGTTCACATTCATCTTTTGGATACCCACACTGTGTCTCATTTGTCTCTGCCTAACTGTGCGGGAGTCATACGGGCCAGGACAGTGTGGTGCTGAATGAAGTGGTTGGCTGATGTGTCTTCAGTACCAGTCTAGCTCGAGATAAGGAAACCTGCTCATGTCTCTTCTAGCTGTGCTGCTGCTCCACAGACAAGAGGAAGACTGATTTTTCCTGTCTGAGAAGTTTCACTGTGTATCCTAAAAGTACCTGGTCACAGTTAAATGACAGCAGCTCCCAAGTGTAGTGTGTAGAGGAGAGCAGGAGAAAGTCTCCTGACTGCTGCAGCTGTGTCACCACTCTGTGGTACTTCTGGTGGACCTTGCTATTCTAGCTGTGATGCCTGTAGTCACCACAGCTGTACAGAGCAAGTGGGCCTTTATGCAGGGTAGTGTTGTTTCCTACACTGAAACAATTGCCTTTGTTTCCTACTGTAGTTTACCCTTCTCTCGAATCAGATGAAGATAATCCCGTATTCAAATCCCGATCAAAGAAAAGGAAAAGTTCAGATGATGCCCCTTACAGTCCAACGGGTAAGTCCATACGGCCTGTGCTGCTCAGACTCAGGCTAAATTGTGTAGGTCCCTAAAAAGCAGCCATTTTTCAAGGAAAGTGGTTTCTTTATCACGTGAAGGATTAATCCTTTCCAGCGCAGTGGGAGGTGATGTAATGTGCTGGGACTCATGCTGAGCAGTGTTAGCCTTCTTCCATCAACCAGTTAGTAGAAAAAAGTCATTTCTTAGTGGGTTGTTAGTTCATTTTTCTTCACACTCTTGGTGATGGAACAATTGGTGGCCACCTTAGCAGTGGTATAACAGTGAAACCACAGACAGCTGAGTAGCCATGGCTTTTAGGTGTTGACTGTGTGAAGATTAATGAAAGAGAATGTGGGAATAGTCTCCTCCAGGCTCAGCCAAAGCTAGTGGTCTGGAAGGATGTTTCTGTTGCGGCTCACCAGAGGCAGTGACAGCCAGGGGGATCCTTAGACACCTTTGATGTGGCCCACTAACATTGGAGTCTCCATGGCTTGCCATGTGTGTGACAAGCAGCCCATGTCTCATCAGCCAGTGGCACTGCATGTCCACCCCCAGCTGATGGGGCTGTGAACACTGTCCATTTGGAAGTGATGCTGGAGTCACTCATACCTGTAGTGTCAGTAGAGCCCTCCCATGGCTTTGGCTTTAGGCAGCTGCAGCTGCCAGAAAAGTTGCTCGGCTGTGTTACATCTTTATTGGCAGCTTCTCCCCAGGCCACTGTGACTGGAGGCTGTTGGCACCTCCTGCTTTTGCACACATCCTGGGGAAGGACAGACAGAGGCTGTGGCATCCCTGGCCCTCCCTGCTCATGAGGACAGAGCCTCACTGCCCAATGTGTGGTTACGCTGCTCACACAGGCACATTCTGCTCATCTGACCTGCATCTGCTTTCCTTGTAGCACGAGTTGGCCCCTCGGTGCCTCGACAAGACAGACCAGTGCGAGAGGGCACGAGAGTTGCCTCCATTGAAACTGGACTTGCAGCTGCTGCCGCAAAGTTGTCACAACAGGTGAGGTTGCTTGAGAAGTAGTAGCTGTCAGGAAATGAAAGCCCTCTCCCCCAGGGTCATGCCCAAATAGCAGTGCAGTGCCAGTCCTCCTCAGTGTTTATTCATGCCAGTGACACAAGGCTCAGGGGAAATAAATGGGTTGAAAGTCCAGTAGTGTCACGAGATACCTGACAACGCCGCAGTGCAGAGCAGGAGTGTAGAGATGTATGAGCGAGTGAACATAGCTACCAGGCTAAGACAGAAAGAGGCTGCCTGAAAGGAGTGTGCATGAACAACGTATCGATGAGTATTTGAGAGTCTGACTGGTGTGATTGCCTTGTCTGTGGAAATCAGCTGCTGGGAAGCGTAAGGATTTGGTGAACCGTTGGTAACTACGGGTCAGTTTAGCAAAGATGTCGAGGCACTTTGGATGTTGATAAGTGTCTGGTCTCTGAAGAATTCAAATAGATGCTAAGTGCCTAACACACATAGGCCCCACAAATGTGACACCGTGAGGCACGAAGGTGACAAGGTCTGCTGGAGCAAGGTTGATGAGACACCTTGGCAAGTTGCTGGAGATGCAAGTTTTGGTGACATTGCGCTTCTGTGATGTGTACTGTTGAGCAGAAGAGCTCTAAAAACGGTAGCAGGGTTTTGTCAAGAAGTGAACTGAAGGTAGGCAAGGGAAACAGGATGGTGATAGACCACTGTACTCATGGTGTGTATGTATAAGTGCAGTTGCAGGTTGAGAGATGATGTTTGTGTCCTAGCGGGAAGCAGAGCTTGTGAATCAGTGGGATGTTTAATATCCTCCATGCTATTGTGAAAGCGTATGAAGATACCTGAAGATAGGAGGTGCCAGTTTTTGTGGAACATCGAAAGCTTTGTTCATGCAAAACCACGCTGGTTTCCCAAGGCAGGGTCGTTTTGGTCCTGGCTGGCTCCCACTCACCAAAGTGTATGCAGAATTAACAAACAAGGAGGCTCTGCACAAAGCGCATACATAGATGCAAGAAAGGCAAACATGTGCGTGCAGCAGGGAGAGCTGTGAGCGAGATGGTATCGGAACAGACCCTGAGCAGTTTGTACATGGCAAACTTCATGGGGTTTCGTTGTATCAGGACCCTAAGCAACACCGCTGGCCCTTGCCGTAGCTAAAGGTCTTCTGGGGATTAATCTGAGCTTCATGTTTGTCATTTTAAAGGAGGAACAAAAAGGCAAGAAGAAAAAAAATACCAAAAAGAAGCTGTCAACCAACAACGCGAACAAACCGGCTCAGGAAGGCAGCTCGCCAGAGCCGAAGCTGGAGTCACATGCCAGCAGCCTCACAGATCACGAGTACACCGCAGGGGCCAGCACCTTTGGGGTCGCCCAGCCTAACAGGGGATCGCAGCCGATGGCACCCGGTGTTTTCCTCACACAGAGGAGACCCTCATCATCCTCGCAGAACAATGCCTCTGCCAAAGGTACCAGGAAACGCCTGGGGTTATGGTATAGGAATGGGGAAGGGTGAATCGGTCATGTAATCCATGCCTTTTGCAGGGCCCTCATATGTTGTGTCTCCCATGGGTGTGTAGAATTGCTTCGTCAGGTCAGATCTGGTCAGAGGTAGGGCCCGTGGCCTTGGCTGTCCTGGCACTGTGCGCCCAAAGATGTGTTTTGCTGCTGGGCTGTTAGTTGCAGGGTGTGAGGCATCCCACGCTAGGAAGTACTCCTGCCCCAAGGCTCCTGAGTAACACCTGCAGTGGTCACATCACAGTCCAGCCTGCCCGGTGAAGCCTTGTCCAGGGGAAGATGCGTCCGTGAAGGCTGTTCTGCCCAGGGCTGGGTCAGGCACTGCTGTGGTTGGGTTGTACACCAGTACCTGTGCTGACATGCACATAAGGACATCCTACCCAGTGGGTGTAGAGCAGTGCAAATCTGCAAACCTGTCTGGAGAGTTGTCGCAAGGGAGCAGAGGAATATCAAACCTTGAGAGTAGCACAGCTGCACAACCAAAGCCAAGAGAGGGGGAGAGGTTGCTTGTTGTCTGCTGTAGGGAAAGGGTTAGAAATCTGAGGCTGTCCTGGCATCTGGGCTAGGACCTCCTATTCTCTGAACTTTGCTTAGAAAACATGACAGAGGCAGCTGTGTGGGACAGGCACCACGTAGCATGAAGATTAAGTGGGAATTTCTGGAACATCTGGAACATTGTAGATGATTCCTGCATTCCCCTATATTTGAGTGAAGCAAATCAGAGGTAGTGCATGGTGTCCTGGCAAACAGTAAAACATCAGAGCAGCTTGAATGGTCCATACAGGAGGAAGTGCATAGCCTGTGGTAGGTGGTAGGGTCCTGCCAGGAGCTGGCGATACCTGTGGCTGTCTGCAGAACCGGAGTGGAATGAACGTATTTGCCTGGAATTGTGTCTTTGTGGTGAAATGGTGGCATTAGTGGAACAGGTCCAAGCCAGTGGAAGATGTGATGGGGAGTGCTGAGTAGAGCCAAACCCCAGCCGGGCTGGTGAGCTGAGTGGCCCTGTCAGGCCATTGTGAAAGGAGCCTGAGCAGTCATGTGGATCACACCTTGCCCGTGGTATAGCTCAGTCCTCAAAGGAGGGAAGGAGCCATGTGCCAAGAAGGTGAGTGGCTGACCTCACAGGGAGCGGAGCACTTTCAGGGCCTCCTGTTCAGGGTCTTGGGACAGCTGGGGGCACCAAGGAGACTTCAGGGCGTCTCTGCATGGAGCACAGGAGAGTTCTGAGCCTGGAGACTACCAGATTGGGCATCACTAGGAATGATGGAACTGTGGAAGGAGATGGTGGGATGAAGCAGAAATGAGGGAGGTCTAGGACCTCCTTAGCAAAGGTGTCTCAATCTTAGAGTGAGGCGAAAGGATGAGAAATGAGGAAACTTCCCATGGAAAGTGTCACCCACACTGTTGTGGTTTTTAAGGCTGTGGCACTTAATGCAGATGAGAAAAGTGGACAGCAGCTAGGTATCTGCAGGTATTGCACAGGAGTGCACCAATGGTGGCACAATGGGAGGAGAACAGGCTGCGTGGCGTTGTGTTGTACCTGGCAGTCCGAGGTGCCTTGGTGACCGGGGATGTTCCTGGCCATAAGGTGTGAGCTGGCGAGCAGTGGGACAGCAAGCAGTAGCTGCACCAGCCCCGGGACCAGAGCACAGGGAGCACAGACCTCACTGGACCGCATAGCTCATGAGCAAGGGCCTGGGCTCGTGGTAGTAGTGTCCTCTTGTTGGTGTGGGGACAGGGAACATTGTCCACTTCGGGTGTGTTGTAGTGCCTTGGTGCTAGCCTGGCTCTGTAGGAAGGAAGTGTGTGTGTGAATGAGTGTCTGTGTGTGCATCTTTTCAGTGTCCTTCTGACAGGGCTGGACGCAGGTGGTCTCTCAAGTGCTAGGGGAAGAGAGAGTAAGGAGAAAGGTAGAGCTGCAATGGCACGTGGATTGGTCTCAGTGCGGCAGGCAAGGGATTAGGCATTCTTGGGGCAGTGCTTGGCCCAGGATTCATGGTGGCATGTGAGCTCAGCATCCCTGTGCCGCAGGTTTCCCTTAGAGGATGGCAGAGGGGTGCCCAGACATCCCTGAGGAGTGTGTGGGTGCATAGGGGAGGTGGGCACTATAATATCCCGCCAGGTGCGAGGGTCTGTGGGGTGCTTGTGTGTGCGTGCGCAGCCTCCCTCTCCCGTGAGGCACTGAGGAGCAGAACGGGGCCGGTGTGGCTGGGCTCAGACTGTCACCCTGCGGGCAAACGGGTCACCCGTGAGCAGGGAGCCAGGCCGGGTGTCAGGCCAGGTGCCTGGCACTGTGGAGACAGAAGTCCCCAGCAGAGAAGGGGTGAATTGAGCCTGCACCCTGAGTGGGGTGTGCTCCGAGGGATGCGTGTGGGTGAGCAGCGTGCCCCAGCCGCGGTGGGGCTGGCTGCGCAGGGGTTGTGCTCCCCGCCGAGCCCCGCCCGATGACTGGGGAAGAGCCCCCGCGCTTGAGGGGGTGGTCGTGGCCGTGGAGGTGCTGGGCGGGGGGGGGGGGGGGGGTGCAGGGCTGGCTGCGGGGCAACCCGGAGGAAGGAGGCAGCCGGTGCACCGGGGCCGGGGGGGCCGTGTCGGGCAGCCGGGAGCGGGGCGGGAGCGGGCGCTCACCCCGGTCCCCCGCTCTCCTTCCAGGAAAGCGCACGAAGAAGGGGATGGCCACGGCCAAGCAGCGGCTCGGCAAGATCCTGAAGATCCACCGGAACGGGAAGCTGCTGCTCTAGCGGCGGGGCCCGCGGGCAGCCCGGCGGCGTCGCGCCCGGGGACGCTGCCGCTTGATTCTTGGCCACCACGACAATAATCCCTTTAACTTTCGGCGGTCGGAGTGTACAGAATCCTGCTATAAATATTTTTTAATATAGATGTCCTTTCTCAGAGTGCTGAGAGTGACTAGCCGCAAAAAGTTAATACTAATCTCGGCCGCGGAGGAGCGTGCCAGCCGGGCCCGGCCGCGGGCGGAGCCGGCGGCGAAGCAGCAGCAGCAGCGAGGCGGGAAGGCGCCGCGCCTCTTCCCGCCCGGGGCGGGGCGGGGCGGGGCGGGGCGGCAGCGCCCGTGTGGGGAGGCGGGGGCGGCCGCCGGGCTGGGGCGCCGGGCCGGGCGGTGCGGGGCCGGGCCGGGCCGGGCCGTGCGGTGCCGTGCGGTGCGCTGCCGTGCCGTGCGGGGCCGGGCCGGGCCGGGCCGTGAGACGCCGGGTTGTGAGGCGCCGGGCTGTGAGGCGTTGGGCTGAGGCGCCGGGCTTTGAGGCGCCGGGCGCGTTTCTCAGGCAACCCCCTGTTGCCCTGCGTAGCTGCGTTTCCCGAGACATCCTTTTCCTAGAATGTAGCTTGTACATAGCTTTTGGAATAACCACCACCGGTTTTTTATAAGGGGAAAGTCTCTCCGGGGCGCCGCCCGCCGGTACCAGCTCTTTGCGTAACTTCTTGTACGAGGAGGGAGACAGTTATTTTACTAGCACCTTGTGGAGTGTTTCCGTGTTTTGTGACGATGTAATTTATTAATGTTTGTAGCTTTTTATATTTGTACATTTCTTATGGGCTTTGTTTATATACACACATTACCAGGGCGCGGCGCCTGCGGGGAACCAGAGCCACCCGCAGCCGTGGGCGAGGGCCGCGAGGGCCGCGCCAGCCTGGGTGTCGCGCCGGCTTTTTTTATTATGATTATTATTAGTAGTATTATTATTTTTTCGCGACATGTACATTTCTAACAAAGTTTATCGTGGCTATCTATCTATGACGGTGTTTTATTTACCGATTCATATCAAATGCTCTTGTATCGAGTTCACAAAATCTAAGTAAACCTAGAGCAAAGTTTAAAAAAAGAAAAAAAGAAAAAAAAAAAAGAAAGTAAAGTAAACTATTTCAGGTTTTGTACACAACTGCCTGGGCCTGGCCTTTTTGTGGGGTTGGCAAGGGGCAGTGCGTGGGCTCGGTGGGGGAGCAGAGGCAGCCGTGGGCTCCCTCGGGGTGGGTAGAAGGAGCAAGCAGGGACCCACAGCAGGTGAAGCAGGGCAGGCAGCCCAGCGTGGTGCTCTACCCTATTCAGCCCGTCCCTCAGCAGGAGCAGTCAAGCAGAGGGGAGCTCCACTGCCCTTTTGCAAGCGCACCATGGAGTGCTGAGCCAGTGCCCCATCTGCTACCCGAAACCCTTTCCAAGACCTCTGCTTGCTGTAGCACCACAAGAAGCCCTGGCTAATTTGGCATGACCGTGAGTGTCCTGGTAGGATACCCCACGGTCCACCCAGACGTGTCTGCCCACTGCCCAGCACTGCTCTCATCATCCACCTCCCTTGGACAAGCATACACGTTTCTCTCTGCTTCCTCCCTCCATCACAGAGGTCACCGGGTGCTGCAGGCTTTCCCCTTGTTTCCACTCACTGAAACACCAGATACCTTGCCATTTACCTTGGACCATTTCTCCAGATTGACCTTCCTGTCCCTGGGACCATTTTTCAAATACTCCTTGGTTATCGCAAGGGGGACTGAACATGATGCCCATCGACATATGCAACCACTGCTGTTCCTGCAGTTCTCTTTCCTAACACAAGGCTGTTCACATCTCCCACACCTTGGCTGCTGCCTAGCCCTTGGCCACCGTATGCTGAGAGACACGAGTCAACTACAGCCTGCACAGTTAACATTACCCCTCCTGACAGCCCCAGCAGGCTCCAGGTTAGTGTTGCAGAGTCCTCTACCTAGAAGTAAGCATGAAGTGGCTTCAAAACCCAGTCATGCTGTATTTGCTTACCAGATGACAAGGGCACAATGAGGTAATACCAGTCTTTTCACTGGCCACATCTCTTCGAACAGGTTACCTTTTGATGAAGCTTCATTGTAAGTAATTCTTTAAGAAAGAAGGTCAGGTGTGCTGTTGATGGATTGCTTCCTTTTTGGGAGGCTTTGCCTCTGAAATACATACCTTGTGTCTGTCCCGGGTCTCTGATGGCCAGCAGTCAAACACAAAGGCCGTGTGTGCACAGAAGAGGTGGTTACCTGATATTACGTGCAGTACAAAGCTTTGCAAAACTCATCCCAGTTAGATGTTGTCAACTTTCAAAGGAGGCAGCCAGTGGTGACATGTAGTCAGTGGATGACGACAGTGTTCCCCGGGGGGAGGCTCTGACAACCCATTTGGATTGAGGAGTCTGAAGGAAGGCTGAGAAGTTACTTTCATCCAAGGGTAAGCTTTTGGCTAAGGACAGCATGACAAGTGTATGCAGGGGCGCAGGGAATGTTCCTGTGACAAGCAGGGCACCAGGCCCTCAGAGGATGTACCAAAAGAGGCAGCAGTTTGAACCCCTCTCGTTGCCTTCCAGCAGAGAATTCAGTCAGATGTTGGCCATTAGCTCCTTACAAAGTCACAGGCCAAAATGGTAGTGCTTTGATAGACACCAGTGCTTCCCAATCACATCTAGTTCCCTCCTTCACTCAGGAATTCCCTGCAAGAGTGGGGAAAACACTGCCAGCAGGGATGCATCTTGCCTGCATCCCCACACCCACAACTTCTCACTCCTTGCCTGTGTTTTCCCACCAAGCATCTGGCATTGGCTTACCGATCTCATGAGAAGCTCGCCCAGAGCCAAAAAAGGTGTTTCATTTTCCTGTTGGAAAAGTGTTTTGGCTCCTGGCAACCTCCACGTCCAACAAGCGCCAGAGCAGGTGGGTGCCTGCATGAACACAGCGTGGATCAGGAGTACAACATTTGCTGGCTGCAAACGCCTACCCTGGCACGGGCACTGGCAGATCTGCAGCAGCATGATCAGCTTCTTTAAGACCATGTGAGGGTGTGTGCTGCTAGGCAGGTGAACAGCAGTTTCTCTGATTATGCTGCCTTCCCATTTATGCTGTGCAGCAGCGTTCCTGACACTTTATGTGTTAGGGATAACCTTTAAGCTCCATCAGGGATGGTCAGTGATCTGTTATCTCTTATGTACAAAGCTCAAAAGAATGTGCAAGTGACATGAAACTTGTGGCACGGGTCAGGTTTTGTGGCTGTGTTATCTTGAAGTCATACTTTGAAGCAGTCCGAGTGTGATATTCCCTCATGGATATTGATTGAGCATTGATAGAGAAACCGCTGTGCCCACAGGTGCTGGGGATTTGGCTCTTCCCACATTCCTGTCCGGCATCCCACAGTGCTCAGCCTTTGTGAGACAGACAAACCCCACCAAGCGTATGATATCTGTAAACGCGGGCTGACCTTGTTTCCCTTCACAACCGCCAGATGAGACAGTCGTGCTGCTGCACCGCTCGCCTTGGTAGGCTACGTCAGCACATGCTCCTGCAGATGCGCATCGCTCAGATTTCCCCTCCGGCCTCTGACTGTGCAGACATCCCCGGATGCTGATGAGTTGTAGGGGTTGGTCTTGCAACATGTCCTCACAGAGACATTTTGGACTGGAGGGAAAGTGGCTGCTGGTAATAGCAGACGTTCACCAGCTGGGGGAGTTCACAGTTCAGAAACAATCACAGCCTATAAAAACAGGACCTGTTGTAATAAAATGCCTAGCACCTCTTAAGGCTCGGTGACACGTACAGCCTTTGTTAACAGGGTTTATTGCAGTGCAGTTGAGGATGCCCTGTGACTCACTCCAGTGCACACCTACCAGCAGCCTGAGGAGGCCACTGCAAGGCTCTGGTTCAGTCTGTGCAGAAAACACTCTCAGAAATAAGCAATAACAGAGCGTAGCTGCAACAGTCCAAAGGAGACTGTGCACTGGCAAACAGGTACAGAGCTGCAGCTCTCACCCAGTGACAAGAGGTAGCAGTTGATGCTCTTGCGTTGCTTTGCAGTAGCGCAGGGCTGGTATTGGGTGATGCAGCGTGAGACCTGGTGGCCCCTGTTCCTGAGTTCAGCTGGGAGGATCCTAGCTTTCAGGAAGGTCCTTTTGCACACCTTTAGTAAGCACAGGCAGGAGAGCTCAAATGCTTCATCCTAACCAACAACTCAGGCTGGCCTCATTTACACGCCCAGAGGCTTTTCCAGCAACACAGGCCCAGGGCTGCCCACAGGCAGTGCAGTCCCTGCGCATTCCTGCCGAGGGACGCTGGTCAGCCCCTCTGCCTTCTGGCCTGGGGTGCCAGGCACACCTCCAAACAGCAGCAAGATGGGCAACTTTAATTGGTGGGCAACGTGGTTTCCCATACATGCAGCATGGCCATCAGAAATTTGAACAATGTCATTGCACTTTCCAAAGCATTTCTTACCCTTCCCTATCCGTAGCCAGTAGCGAGATTTGAGGCATGTGCTACAAACACCCTTCACATGCTGCTTCTCATGTATTTCCATTATGACATTTCAGAAGGGACTGCCTTGCTGGCCTCCTGGGTTGATAGGGGCTTCGTGCGATTTTACTTCTGATTTATCTTGGCTTTTTCAGTCTTCTCCCTAGGAAGAACACACAGGGGCTTGTTACAAGTCATTCTTCAGTCCATGATTCTGCCCAGTCATTTCAAGTCTCTTGCCTACTTCCTGGATTGTTATCGCTTCCTTTGCCGCACGGTTTTTGCCCTTCCTTTGTGCCCCCAAATAGTCTGTGTCTTTCAGTCATATGCTTATGCACCAACTGATGGGGTGTGTAGCTCAATCCTGGCATTCCCTATGCTACACAGGGTCGGTAGAAGTGTAATAGTGTCTTTGTCTCTACAGATGGGCTGCTGACCCTGTGCACTTAACACCATTTCCAGGCAACTCCTCCACCCCTTCTTGGACAAACTCCAGAGGGCTCTGCATTTGACAAGTTCTTATCCTACACAAAAGTAATATAAAAACTAGACCACAGACAGGAAAATGGGGGGGGGGGGGGCAGCCCAACTTAACCTCTGGCTGGCTCCGTGTGTCCCATCAGCACAGCAGCCTAGTGCTGACAACAGAGACAAAGCATGCCTGGCCCAGGTCTAATCTCTCTCCTGCTTCTCAGCAGGGCTCTCCAGTAGGCCTATGAGCAAGCACAAGTGAAAGATGTTTGGGTGCCAGTGAGACAGAAAAGTCACTTTTTTTTCCCTTACAGTACCTCACACTGAAAATACCTCCTGTATTCAGCAGCTTGCAGTCGGCGTGCGATACCTCTAGCAGCCCCCTGACTGTCATAGCCCCTCTGCCTTGACGCTGTGCTTGGAGAATGGTGCCCCAAAACCTCTGCTCCAAGATCAGCTGTGCGGAGATCCTGCTGCCCTCCACCTGCCCAGCTCCACATACAGCAAGGGTACACTTAAAGTCCCCCACAGGCATTTGACAAGGCCCTAGTTGTTTCACATTTACTCCTGATAAGTTAGCTGAGGACATCTAACACCCTCGGACAGTCTCACTATGCTTAATGGGTGCTTTATTGGGCACTTTTGCAGATTCAGGTGAAATACTTTTTAATTATTTTTTTTTCCAGTGTGCAGCTACCTGCAGGAGGGACAATAAGTGCACCTTACATTTTACTTTTACAGTGACTGGCGACTGGAAATTCGTAAATCTACTGCTCAATATACAAAGGATGCCATTGCCAGGGAGGTATTTTCTGCACATGTGTATGTAGAGAGGCTCTTGGCTGCTCCAGGCAAATGATTACAAACAACATTTGGGTTTCTACTGTTTCTGTCTTTAAACCGACAATAATCCTTCAAAAACGGACATTTGGCACAGCCCCACGTTAATCTTGAAAATGCAACATTCATCTTTCATCTCTGGTTGGGGCAGACTCTGACTGCACTGCAGAGAGCAAGTTTGTTACTTAAGACAGTGGCACAGTGCCATCTTGCACTACAAATGCCATTCTTTCCATTAACATCTGACATGGATTTGTAGTACCCACCCCGCAGAATTCACAGGATTTGTGTAAACAGTTTCGAAGTTGTTCTTTGTGTATCATAAGAAAGTCTGCTTCTCCTC